ACAGTAACTATATAACCTCACATTTACTGGACCTTCACTTTTTCCTCTCAGTTTACGCGCTCCCACAAATCAATCCCTTTTCGCCTCAGTTTACGTGCTCCCACAAATGAATCCTTTTTCCTCTTAATTACTTGTACCTTTCACTCATCAATCCTTTTTCCTCTCAGTTTACGTGCTCCTACAAATCAATCCCTTTTCGACTTCAGTTTCTTTGTTTTCTCTTCTTCATTCATCAATCCCTTTTCCTCTCAATTACTTGCACCTCTATCACTCATCAATCCCTTTTCTTCTCAATTACTTTCACCTTTCACTCATCAATCCCTTTTCCTCTCAGTTATTTGCTCCTTCATTCATCAATCACTTTCCTCTCTGTTATTTTCCTGCTTCATTCGTCAATCCCTTTTCCTCTCGGTTACTTGCTCTTTCTCCTTCACTAAACAATCCCTTTTCCTCTCAATACTTGTTCCTTCATTCGTTTATCCCTTTCCCTCTTAATCACTTGTTCCTTCGCTCATCATTCCCTTTTCCTCTCAGTTACTTGATCCTTTACTCATCAATCCATTTTCTTCTCGGTTACTTGCTCTTTCTCCTTAATTAATCAATCCATTTTCCTCTCAGTTAATTGCTCCTTCATTCGTCAATCCCTTTTCTTCTTGGTTACTTGCTCTTTCTCCTTCACTAAACAATCCCTTTTCCTCTCAATACTTGTTCCTTCAGTCATCATTCCTTTTTCCTCTCAGTTGCTTGATCCTTCATTCGTTAATCCCATTCCCTCTTAATTACTTGTTCCTTCACTCATCATTCCCTTTTCCTCTCAGTTACTTGATCCTTTACTCATCAATCCATTTTCTTCTCGGTTACTTGCTCTTTCTCCTTCACTAATCAATCCCCTTTCCCCTCAGTTATTTGTTCGTTAATTCATCATTCCCTTTTTCTCTCAATTAAATGCTCCTTTACTCGTCAATCCCTTTTTCTGTCAGCTACTTCTGCTTTACTCATCATCCCTGTCCTCCTGGTTACTTGCTCTTTCTCCTTCACTAATCAATCCCTTTTCCTCTAGTTACATGCTCCTTCACTCGCCCATCCCTTTTCCTCTCAATCGCTTGCTCCTTTAGTAATCAATCCCTTTTCCTCTTAGTTACACGCTACTTATTCATCAATCCATTTTCCTCTCAATTACATGCTCCTTCACTAGTCATCCCTTTTCCTCTTGATTACTTGCACTCTCTCCTTCACTAATCAATCCCTTTTCCTCTCAGTTACATGCTACTTCACTCTTCATTCCCTTTTCTTCTCAGTTACTTGTTCCTTCACTCGTTAATCTTCATAGCTTGTACAGTTTCTTTTACACCTTGAGCACGATTAATCTGTGCTCTCTGCATAGCTGCTACAACTGCGCATGCGATACCGTCAGTAAGCCCTTCGTCTAGTGGTACATCTAATAACTCACTAATCATAGTTTGACTTCTCCTATCCTCTCATTTACTACTCCTTCATTCGTCAATCCATTCTCGTCTCTGTTACTTGTTCCTTCACCAATTATTTATTCCCTTTCCCCTCAGTTATTTATTCCCTTTCCCCTCAGTTATTTGTTCCCTTACCCATTATATATATAAAATCATCTTTTCCTTTAACAAGCACGTCATTGACTCAATCTTGATTCAGCTTAGCACTCAAACAGTGGGTGCTTTTCCTGGCTTATGGAAACACTTCAGCTTTACGTCCAGCGCTATTCAGCATGAATATATTCGAAGCTGCATGGTTTATTTTTTGTCCCTCGTCCTCCTCGTCCCTCCAGTCGCTAAATAAAATCACGAAACGAATACTAAGAGGCGCCAGCCGTCGTGTGGGCTGACATAGGACTGAAAATTGGCCAAATTCCAGAAACGGCGAAACGTCCCTCGTGCATAATTGCGCTAACAGGAAAATAAGGGGCGTCCTAAATAGCACCCGACGGCCTTTCTATACAAATAAATTTACATATATCAACAATGTCCACTTGACTCGTATCCCTTTTAACGGCGTTAGAAAAAAATCAATTTTTCTAAATGATGGTTCTACTCACAGATATACATGTTTACATCCGGATTTCGAGCTTTAAACGCTCATCATCAGTTTTAAGAGTTACAAGCACGTCTCACGACATGAATATTAGTGACCGATCCACTGCCAACGCGAGAATATGGTTTGCAATGCTCTATGTATTACAACATAACTAAATTTTGTCCTAATACATACTGTAAGAAAAATCATTTAAAATTAATAATTTGTATGTCTAATTTCCTTGTAAGTCCTACAGGTACATCTTTAGAGTGGGAGAATAAATCAGAATATATTATATTATTTGGGCATTTATCTCAATGTTTAATTTTCCTTATTTTTTGTTTAAAATTCTTAAACCGATCTGGTCCCCACCCTTTTTTGAAATGGGTAACACTCTTGTATTTAAATTTAAACTGAAATTGTGTTTTGTCTCAGTTAGATGGTCCTTAAATTCAGAAAATTTGTTTGATTTAAGCAAGTGTTCTTTAACTCTCACGGGAGCTGGAGTCTTTGAGATGAACCCCAAAAACTGTACTGATGGTAAACCTAGGTGCACCAGAGAAAGAAAAATGGCTAGGAATACATTCCCGGAATATAGCCATTTTCTCTGACAGTCAGGCAGCACTAAGGGCCCTAGCCTCATATAAGGCAAAGGCAAAGAGTGCTTGGAACTGCATGGAGGCCCTGAAGGAAGTCAGTGGCACTAATGACCTGACCCTGGCATGGGTCCCTGGGCACTCGTGGCAACGAAAAGGTTGAAATGTGATATGGACTCTCTGGACACTGAACCTTACTGTGGCTTAGAATCCTGCCGCAAAAGAGGATACATCTTAAAATGAGTCCAAAACCTAGTGGAACAATACCACAGGCATGAGGCATGTGAAGAGATTCCTAGGACCATCCGCAAAACTTACAAAATAATTACTGGAAGGCAACCACAACCGAATCAGGATTCTGGTTGGACTCTTGACTGGACTTTGCCACTTAAGAAAGCAAATGCACTGGAGAGAAGAAGAAACACTGTGCAGATTCTTCCAGGAAGAGGAGGAGATCGCAGAACACTTTCTATATTTCTGTGCAGGTCTATAAAGGTGCAGGTTCTTGCAACTAGGACGAGAAAAACCGCAATCCTACACTAAGCACTTGCAAAGCTATGGAAGAAGCTGATTAACAACCTAAAGCTGGCCAGTGGGTTATAAAAAACAGGGGAGCACAATAGATCTATTCGGTCGAAATGCAGTAGGCCTTGTGGCCGCCTCTTTTATCCCTATACCTATCCCTCTTTAACTTTCTTTTTAATTTCTCTGCCACTTTCTCCTATATATTTAATATCGCAATCATTACAATGGAGTTGGTAAAACTCTCTTTTTGACAAGTTGTCAAGATTGTTTTTATGTTTTGAGTGGATGTTTCTACACAAACATATAACTCTAAAAGCTACTTTAAAACCTTCTCGTTCAAGAATTTTACCTACTTTTTTTTAATGGTTCCCCAATACATGTCACGAAAGTAAAACCCAAAGATTCATTTTTGGTATTATTTATGGCTTATTTTAAAGTTAATTTTTCTGTTCTTTTTACTAGCAATTGATAACAATTTCTTGATATCTATTGTTTTTAATTGTTTGTAATTCTTTTTTATAATTTAATGGTACATAGTTTCAACATGCGGTCTATGATCCAAATGAATCCAGGAGCTCTTTGGGTCCATGGGTGAGAAGAATTTTCTGATATGGTGTCTGTTGTTGTGGGTTTTCTACATTCTACATACATCTATTTCAATTAAGTTGTTTATTATGGACAGTTTAAAAGTTTAAAGTAAAAGTTGTAAAAGTAAAAGTTTAAACGACCATCTTTATTTATTTTCAATGCAAAATTTATAAACTAGGGTGTTAAAGAATTAATTAGTTTAATGAGTTCTTTTATATCCTCTATTGTTCCCGACCATTTAAATAAAATATCATCTATATAGCATTTATGAAAAAGGACAGATTTAATTAATTTATTTGATTTTAATTTAATTTTTTCAAATTAATCCATGAATATTTCCGCACAAAGTGGGGATAATGGAGACCTCATTGCTAACCCTTTCATTTCATTAAATTTACAATAATTAGATTGTAGACATATTTAAAAGGACTACAATTTTTTTCTTAAACTTAAAGGATACAATTTTTTACAAATTCATGAATAGAGTTCTCCCTAAGTTTTTTCTTATTAGGTCAAGACATTCTTTAACAGGGATATTTGTAAATAAATTAGTAACAACTAAAACACAGTTGTTAGGTATATCTACGTTTTTTAACTGTTTTATTAATTCTAAATAATTGTAAATAACGAATATAGGTTTGAAATTGGTGTGGGTTTTAATTATTTCATCAATCGTTTTTGCGAGTTTGTAGCATGGAGAATTATTAAAAGACCCTACTGGTCTTGTAGGTTTATTTTATTTGCGGATTCCGGCTGAACGACCGAATAACATTGGGGATTTCAGGTTCATTGGTATGAATTTTTAGAAATCAGCAATTTTTTTAAAGCTGTTTGAACTCTAGTTTTTAATTTAGGGTCTTTTTTTATTTCTTTAAATCGTTATTGATTAGGCATTCTTCGACTTTAGAAATGTATTTTTGGTATTCAGTAAGAACTATACTGTTTCCTTTATTGGCTTTTAAAATAATGATGTCGTAGTTTTTATCAATATATTTAATTGTATTGGGATATCTAATTTTTTGATATCAAGTTTGGTGTAATTACTTCTATTATTAATTTCGAATGTATAATTGTAAACAACAAATTCTGTGAGTAGAGCCGTCATTTACAAAAAGTGAATACTCACCTACACTTTTATTATTTCTATAGAAGAAAAAAAATATCTGTCACTAAACGCTTTCTATTCTTATATTTTACACAAATTTAAAGAAAAAAAGTATGATTTTTTTGTTTCATGTTTTGAATCAGGATGGAGGATAAGAAGGGAGGTGGGAGAGTATCGCAGATTGCTAACATCTTTCAGCAAGGAATGGGGCCGGGACGTTGCGAAGAGGGGCCCACGCAGGTCGAGACAAACCCCGGCGGCACCCCCATATCGCCCACAGTCACCGTGGTACGGACCGAAAGCCATCTTGCCCGGTTCAACAACGCCAGGGCTCTTTTTGAAAAATTAGGCTCATTAAGTAAGTAATCTAGTAATATTAATTTTTTAATTTGACCTTTTAATTTATATCGTTTTTTGTCTTAAAGGTGGGCCTGAAGAACCACCCCCTAAACCAAAGAAATTAATCACCGAGCCTGTTCCAAGAGAGACTCAGGTTTGTACTCTGTAAAACACATCAAATTCTTCCGATAATAAATTTCTTCGTTTTTACATTTCAGAATGTACTGAGACAGGTAAACGGGAGTGCGACTCCGTCTATAAATTCGCACCATGCCAGAATCGGCATAATCAATGGCATCAGTGAGAAGCCGGCAAAGCCCGAGAAGCCAGAGAGGAAACTCAACAGCAGAGAGTTGATTGAGAAGCAGAAAAATTGGACGTCCCATTTTTCCAAAAACCGAGTCTCGACTACAAGGTAATTTTCTAAGAGGAACAATTTTTCTTTCATCGTGTTCAACGTTTGCCTGATTTAAAAAAATTATAGAGAAAAAGTGTCGCCTAGTCCAGAAAGGACTCTAAGTCCAGAATTAGATTCAAGTCCAGTAGCATTTAAACTTAGAGATAAGTCTCCGACTGTCGCCGTCAGGAGGTCTCCTGTGTCTTCCCCCCTTAAGGAAAATTTGCCTACTACGCCTCAACCTTATTTTGGTAATAACTCAAATAAATAATTTTTTGTGTAATAAATGCACTTAAAATATTTATTGTTATTTTGTTATATTTTTTTACAGTGAGAAAAAGAGAGGAAAATCATGTAGAAGAAGAAAAACCCGTTCCACGGGAAAGGATTTATGTCGTCCCGAGAAAACCTGTAAGTAAAGAAAACCAAATTTTATAATAAAAATATGAATATATGGGCCAAGAAATCTCAGACGAGTCTATTTTGTATTTAGGTAATAGAAGATAAGAAAACGGAAGAAAAACCTTTGGACAGGGATGACAGGGTTTCCGAGAAGCCGATTTTCCAGGCTCAGACGTCACCCTCCGAAGAGGCGGAAAGGTCCGAGGAGGAAGTGCGCGTCCGGTTCAACCTCGGTGAAGCCGTCGATATTAAAGTAGAGAGGACGATGTGCTCCAGTTCGTTGAGCGAAGAAGATTCGGGCTTCGCCAGCTCGGAAACGGCACCGCATCGCGATTACGAGAGTGAGATCTCTGACAGCGTCGGCCTGCTGACTGACTCTTGCGGGTTGACGGACTCGCGCGAACTACTCTCAGCCGGGCACACACCGCAGGACGATGCTAACGCTGGTATCCTAGACGGCGGACTGCTCGACGTACAGAATATCCAATATGCTGATGAAGAAACGGTAAAAATATTAACAGTAAATAATAAAACAGTACATTATTAAATATAATTGTTTTATTTTAATAGTCAGAAGATAAAAACGTAGACACCTCTCTGATGACTTTAGCAGAAGCTGATCAACTCTTGAGCTCAAGGTTTGTTTTATATCTTTTATATTAAAAAATTTGTAAATAAATTGTAAATACACATTAATAACTTTTGTATTTGTCAATTTTTTCGCGCACATGTCTGCACCCTGCAGGATAGTTGAAAATAGAGTTGGGTAAGCATGATAGAAATTAAAATAAAATATTTTTATTTTAAAATTTTTTAGTTAATTTGTTTTTCTTGTGTTACTTTTTTTAGAACTGTAGAAACTCTGCTGTCTGATGAAGAGGCCCAAGAGGTTGTTAAGCTTCTATCGCCGCCTCAAGAAGAAGAATCACCATCACCGAGCGACCACCAGCAGATGGACACGAGCAGCGAGACGATAGGAGTCGCTGACGATGAACCTGAATGGCTGCGAGACGTCCTTCAAGCGTCTCAGACAAGGTATGTATAATTTTTTCAGATATTCCCATTTTTCTTTTCTTTCCTTCTTGCTTTAATATATCTTATTGAATTATTTGGGTTTAATTTGGTTTTAAGAATATTTTTGGATGGAATTGTGTTTAAAAATGTTTATACTAAGCTGAAAATTAATTTGATAACAGTTTAGGAAAGGTTTGAAGCAAAAGGGCCTTAATAGGCTTTAATTTGTTGTTTTATCTAGTAAATTGACTGGGGCAAGAGGTCCAAGTCCGGCAGCTGTATTATTTCAGACCAACCCTTTCAGGTTAACAGGGCGTATTTCTAATTTTTACAGCCTCCTGAGCGCCGTCGAGTGCTCGGTGGACACGTTGGAGGAATGCACGAGCCAGCTGAGCGCATCTTTGGACGATCTCGAGCCTAGCAGGACAGAGTGCGAGATCGAAGGTGTTGAACTGACACCGATGCCGCACGCCATCATTGTGAGCCCGGTGCAGTCATCACAGGCACAGGAAACCGAACAGTCGCCGCTCTGCAACCCGGCGCCTTTCAAGGAAGTCGGGGAAGAAGGCGGAGTACATTATCTCGAAGATGGCCACTACTGGCTGGAAATTGCCGGCCTAGACGAAAACGATCTCGACGCTGACGTGCCCTGCCCTGTCAAACCCAATAGGAAAGTGCAGTTCAGCCAGAAACCAATTAAAGTAAGTTTCTCATATAATTTTTTTGTTTTTGTAAATAAAGTCTATAAGACAAACAGACCGTAAATAAAATAAGTTACAAGACCACACAGCTTTTGCATTAGACAGGGTAAAAATTCTAATAAATAGTTATAAAATCAAGTATCTTCCTCTCCCTGCTTATTCCAATCTGTTGCACACTTTAAACAAAAATTGTATTATACCAATTTACTATTTTGTTAATAGGTTTTTTCAACCTTTTCTGTCAATGAGTATGACAGGCGAAATGAGGATGTGGACCCCGTAGCCGCATCGGCCGAGTATGAGTTGGAGAAGAGGGTCGAGAAGCTGACCGTGTTCCCCGTCGACCTGATAAAAGGCCCCGACGGCCTCGGCCTCTCAATAATCGGCATGGGAGTCGGCGCGGACGCCGGCCTCGAAAAGCTAGGCATATTTGTCAAGACGATAACCGACCGAGGAGCGGCCGCGACCGACGGCCGTATCCAGGTCAACGACCAGATCATCGAAGTCGACGGGAAATCTCTCGTCGGCGTCACTCAAGCCTACGCCGCTTCGGTCCTGCGAAACACGTGCGGCCGCGTACGCTTTCTCATCGGGAGAGAGCAGGACCCCGAAAATTCCGAAGTCGCCCATCTCATACGTCAATCACTTCAGGTAATTCTTAAAAAAAAAAAAAAAAAAAAAAAAAAAAAACAGAACATTATTTATTTATTCTTTTAATTTTAAAGGCTGATAAAGAAAGAGAAGAACAGAGAAGGGCGCAACAAGAAAGAAGATACAGCGAAGACAGTCAAAGCACGACTTCCGAAGACAATAACGCCACACTATCTTCATTACTACTAGAAGTAAGTTCATTTCAAAACTTTATTTCCAACCTTTTGTCTTTAAATTTTTTAAAAGTTTTATATATATAAAAAAACATGCTTGATTTTCACTTAGAGAGAGCCGCAAGTTCAGAACCAAGCGAAACAAACCATGACCGATACCGAGGTGTCGAGGTTAAAAGCCCGGGTGAGATTTTAAAAAACTTGATCGGGACATGTGTGACTAATAAATTAATTAATAATAAAACAATTTATGGTGTTTGGGCTCAGAAGGCATGACATTAAATTAAATAAGCGAGGGGATAGCACTTAATAGGATGATTAAAACAGGCTAAAAATTAGTATTAATTAAGGCTGTTGAGGCAGCTAGGCACTGTAGTTCACTGGAGTTGGAAGTTTTCAATTATCACTATTATTCGAACACTGTTTAACGTCTTTTCTTTTAAACTTAAATAATTTTTTTTCTTTTCTATTCAAAAGCTTGAAGAACTTGAAAAAGGTGCAAGGGAAGATCTCGGTGAAAGGCTAAGGGAAACGACTCTGAAGCTGAGAGAGGTCGAAAGGAACCTGGCTGCGGTCAAAAAGGACAACGCGAGCTATCAGGACATGCTACACCAAACTCAAGTAAATATTTTTTAAATTAATCAATTAATTTTTTTTATTTATAATTATTAATTCCAGGAGCAGTACATTGCGTTAGAAAAGAAATATACAAAGACAAAAAGGCTAGTGAAAGAGTTCCACCAAAGGGAAGCAGAACTTCTCCACAGGGAAGAGTTCTACCTGCAGATGCTTGAGGAAAAAGACACGGAGTACAACGCCCTCGTCAAAGCCCTTAAAGACAGAGTAATGTCGATTTTAAATGTTTATATAATTTTTTTTTAATCATCTTTTTTTTCTTCAGATAATCCAAGTCGAAGAAGAACTCCTTGAGACGCAGAAGCGCGCCGGCTTGCCGGTCCACCTGCCGCACTCAGAAGGCCCATATATGCGGCTTAGCACGCCGCCGATGTCGCGCCGGCCGACGGCTGTCAAGCCACTCCTCGAGACCCTCGGCGCAGAGCTGTCGGAAGCGGAGGACAGCCCGGAAGAAGGAGAAAAGACCGCCACCGTAGAACGCAAGGTATACATCATTGTAAATCAAACAGCGCATGATTTTTTTTTTCTTTTGTGTTAATACAAAAAAATGGTGCTGGGAAAAGAAAATCTCCTCACCGAGGAGTTATATATGACATAAAAACAGTACAAACACCTTTTTTCCCCAAAACAACTAATGATATTTTAGATAAAAAAACATAATAATTAAAGAATAATTTAGTTTTATGGGGAAAAAACTTTAGATTGTCAGTAAGGTGTATAAAATAATTTGTGTCTTGTTTACCTGTGTGTTTCTTGCATTTGAAACCCATTTCGTTTAGTGAAAAAGCAGTTGAAATGTTTTATAAAAAAAAAATATATATCATTTGAAAATATTCGAAAATAAAAGAAAAAGCGGACTTTATTAGAGATAAGTAGCCAGGAGGGCCGATTAGAAATGAAAAACAAATCAAACATCGACGCGCTTTAGGTCTGCAGCACGGGGAACGGCGGAGCGAAAGATGAGCTGGATGATGCCGTCCCGCCTCACGCCCTGCTCGACGTTTCAGTGTCGAGGTCGAAGGCCGAGCTGGCGACGAGGGGCGGACTTGCCAACCGCCACCTGCCCACCTCAGCCAAGAAGCAACAGCTGTCAAACAGCAGTTCGGTAAATGAAACAAATTATACAAAAATAACAATAAAATAATCACACTTTAATTTTTTTTTAAATTTATATATCAGTTCGAACGAGCCTGACAATTTTTATTAAAAAAAAAAAAAAAAAACAGTAAAAAATTATTTTTCTCTTTCTCTTTTACAATTTAAATTTCAACTGCATTTTAATCCTTTATTGTGGAAAGTGGAAGCATGTTGGCATGGTGTGTATGTGTGTGTCTTACCATTTTCCCTTTATTTTGTATAACCGCAGTGTTTAGTTTAAACAATTATTAATTAATTTACATTTTTTGACAAAAAAAAACTTATAATCATACAAACAATAAATTCAACAATAGTTCATAGTATAATTTATTAATGGCATATCTATCTGGTAGATATTACCTTTTAAAAGAATTAATTGTTTTATTTGGTTGTTTCTATTCATTCTGGTCAGCCTATCTTCCTTGGTCTATCTCTAACTGAAACTACAATTACTTACAATCCTTAACCATCATTAACCATTCTTAATACAAACTGTCATGATATCCGACAAATAACCATCCTCAACCACCACTTAACCACTCTTCACCATCCCTACTTCTTAACCATCCTTGCCCATTCTTCACCATCACTAAACATTCCAAATACAAGCTGTATGATATCCAGAAGTCCATCTGTACACTTCTTCCCTATCACTAACCATGCCTAATTCAAACTGTCATGATATCCAAAAGGTTCCTACCCTTTCTTCACCCTCACTAACCATCCTTTCCACTACCATTCTTCACCGTACCTCTCAACCATTCCCAAATCAAAGTGTCTGATTATCCAGAAGGTCCATCTACCCTTTCTTCATCGCTGATGGCCATCTTTCATCACCCCTACCCTTTCTTAACTATCGCTAACTATTCCTAATCCAAGCTATCATGATATCCAGAAGATCCATCATCCATACCTTCACCATCACTCACCATTCTTAACCACCACTGATGATCTTTCATCACCCCTACCCTTTTTTCACTATCGCTAACTATTCCTAATTCAAACTATCATGATATCTGGTGAGCAACCATCCTGCATCTTCGCTAACCATCCTTAACCATCTCTACCATTTCTTCGCCATCATTACCACTCTTCACCGTCCCTACTTCTTAATTATCCTTCACAATCCTTGCCCATTCTTCACCACCAGCCGTTCCAAATTCAAACTCATGATATCCGAAAGGTCCATCCCTACCCTTTCTCCACCCTCACTAACCATCCTTAACCACACCGCTACTAACCATTCTTCATCAAAACTCTCAACCATTCCTAAATCAAGGTATCTTATTATCAGGTCCATCTACCCTTTCTTCACTGCCACTGACCATCCTTCATGACTAGCCATTTCTAATTAACTGTTATGATATTCAGATGGCCCATCATCCATACCTTCACCTTCACTAACCATCCTTAATCACAACTGATCGTCCTTCACCATCATTAACCATCTTTAACCACAACTAACCATCTTTTATCACCCCTACACTTTCTTAACTATTGCTAACTATTCCTAATCCAAACTATCATGATATCTGGTGAGCAACCATCCTGCACCTTCACTAACCATCCTTAACCACATCTACCCTTTCTTCACCATCACTAACCATCCTTAACCATTTTTGTCACCACTTCCCTTTCCTCACTATTGCTAACTATTCTTAATCCAAACTATCATGATGTCTAGTGACTAGGTAACCATTTTTAATCCATACTATCATGATATCTGGTGAGCAACCATCCTGCATGTTCGCTAACCATCCTTAACCATCTCTACCCTTTCTTCACCATCACTAACCATACTTAACTACCATTAACCATCTTTCATCACCCCTACCCTTTCTTAACTATCGCTAACTATTCCTAATCCAAACTATCATATCTAGTGACTAGGCAACCATTTTTAATTCAAACCATGATATGCCATTTCTGAAATTGTCTTGATAACTGGTGATTTACCCATCTCTATCTGTAAATATTTATTAGGATTACGGTTTGACGACAGACGAAAGTACGGAAAGTTCTGATGTCGAGGAGAATGACAGATACGGAAGCCGGGAACAGGCTAGCCCCGATCCTTGGAACAATGGCAACAACAACCCTCCTACAAGTCTAGCCCATAGAAGTAACATTAATAACTTCTTTTTTTTTTTATATTAAAATTAATGAATGTTCTAAATTTTTTCTGGGGTTTTACCAGGTGGTGTAGCGAATTCTCTGGCGGAACAGTTGAAACAAGTCCTCGCGGAGAGGGAAAGGCGGATGTCCTCGGGAAGCGGTAACAACGAGGCGCCGCAAGTCTCCTCCAATGTACCGCCATCCCTTGTTGAAGAAATACGCCAAGCCGTCAATCAGGCTAATCTGAAAGGTTTTATTTTATTTTTTAAATTAAAATTGTTTATATTTTGTACATTTTTTTTATATATATAGTTAAAAGAGGTCCGATTAATTGGCCACAAGGATCACCCTCTTCATCCGGTAGTGTTTCGCCAGGTGTAATGACTGCAGATCCGAGCCCTTCAAAGATCGGCTCGACCGGTTCGTAATTTATTTAAATTATAAAAAATTAATGTTAAAAAAAAATATTATCTTAGATTCGAGTGATATTTGGATCCCAAATGAAGAGAGAAAGGTGCAGATCTGGCATTCCACGCCGATCCCCGAGTGGAATAAAGACCAGGTGAAAAAATAAAATAAAATAAATCCCCTCGATAAATAAACAAAGAACTTTTTGTAAAATTTGATATTTCAAATTGTCCCAGGTCGGGCAATGGCTGAAGGGAATAGGATTCGAGTCGTTCGTGCCAAACTTCCTCGAGTTGAATATGACCGGGAGCAGTCTGCTCACGCTTGAATCGCGCCACCTCAAGAGCATGGGGCTGAGCGGCGAGGTCAAATCGAGGATGAAGCGCAAGCTCAAGGAGCTGCGAGCGCAGGCTGAAAAGGAGCAGAGGCAGCGCGAGAAACAGCGCAAAGAGAAGGAACGCCTTTTGAAAAAGGCGGAGAAACTCGCGGAAAAAGCAAGCAGACGGAAGTGAAACGTAAAGCATTAATAAAACTTTTTAAATAAGGATTAAAATTCCCAATAATCATCAACGTCCATGTTTATTATTTTTTTAATTGTTCAATTTTCTAATTTTTTTTTAGGCTAGAACAATTTGATTTTTTTCGGACGTCATCAGACAGGATATTTGTTTGGTTTCACCCACGACTCACACCCAGCAACATAAAACGGACGCCTTGTACCCCGTTATCATACTTTTCTTTTTGTTTTGTCCTCAAAATAAAAAAGAAAATGTATTTAAAAAAATTTTTTTAATGAAATGATAGTAGATGCATTTTTCAACAGTTTTAACTTGGATTTTAATAAATATATTATATATTATTTTCATTTTTTCTGATTATTTTTTGTGTGTACAGTATTTATTGTTCAGGGAATAATCATTCCAAATACCTAATTTTTTTTTTTTTAATAATTACTATTATTTGTTGTGGCCCTAATTTAAAAACACATAGTGATAGATTTATTATTAAAATTAAGCATCACAAACTATTAATAATTAAAAGTTTAATATAAAAATAACGGCAATAATTGTATGTATCGAATGTTAACTTTCCCCCTTTCAATTATTTAAATTAATTAATCGATTAATTATTATTAAGTAATTTATAATTGGCTGTGCCATTGATATTATTTATTGTATAGTTGTACAAAATGTTCCCTGTATTACTTTATATACCTTGAAATATTTATTTATCGACTTATATATTTTTATTTGGTATTTTGATGTTTATTATTCACAAGAAGAATTTTTAAAAAAGTAGGAGGTACACAGATTTAAAAAAAAAATTTGTAATATATAATGTATGTGTAAACAAAACAAAAAATGCATTTTGAAGAAGAAAAGTATATATAATGAAAAATACTTTTTTTTTTACATTTTTCACTTATGAATCTTTTGTTTTTGTAACTTTTGACATTTTAAATATATAACGCTAAAAAAGGATTCAGGCAAAAAAAAAGAAAAGAAAGAAAAAGAGTAAATTGTGCTCAAAAAAGGATAAAAGTTTAGTTTTTAGTATCTGTGTGTTCATATTTGAAATTCATAACTTAGAACTGTATATATATCGAGCCTAATTAAATCAGAAAATTAATTTAAAAAATAAGGAAAAATATATTTAAAATAAATATAAACAAAAAATATATTATTATCTTGTATCATTAAAGTTAAAAGGAAAAAATTTAAATATACATCATTATATTGTCAATTGAAGAATATCTGAGTGGAATTTAAATTTAAATTATTTGAAAATAAAAATAGAGGCAAATGTTTAGAATATGTGTGTCTGTACTTAGAAAAATATTAAGCCAGAGACCTTTTGAAAGAGGGGTCTTTATTTTTTCCCTCCCTGCCTTGACCCCCAAAACTATCCCCATCCATCGTTATTTTGGCTTAAAAATTGTACAACGGTTTATTTGTATATTTATTTTTACCATGATTATACAGAAGAATAAAGGATTTCTCATGTTGGATACGATTTTATATTGATACCCCAAGTATTTTATACCCACCTAGGGTGGCCATAAATAACACTGCTGGGACCAGAAATTTAAAAATTAATTAATTAATTATACTTTTTATCTAGTCTTGGTCGATATGGAAAAGCTAGTGTTACGAATGGGATTCAAAGTCATGATAGCTCAAGCCGTCGTGGGTTCCAATCCCACTCGTGACACTAACTTTTTCATCTCAACATGATAAAAAAAATTTTCCTTCTCCTGAGAGGCTTGAAGGAAGGCCGTTAAGTTTTGGGATCTGGTAAAAGAGGCTAAGAGTTGAAGAATGTAATGGAGAAAAATATTGGTCGCGGTAAAGTCGTAAACAAGCCGCATACTTTTAACCTTACACATTATCCAATGGGCGTGTATTTCTTTATGAATATGTAATCACATGTAAATTGTGTGTTGAACATTCTTGAGAAATTAATTAAGGTTTTTAGTTGAGATAAAAGTCAGTGTCACAAGCGGGATTTGAACCCACGACCTTCGGCTAAATACGCCGCTGCTCTACCACTTGAGCTATAGTGACTTTGATCCACTCGGAAACTTCCCATCTTTTGAATTTTACCTCCTTTTTGCCATTTTTCAAAGGAAGTTAGTGTCTGAGTAGATCAAAGTCACGATAGCTGAAGTGGTAGAGTAGTGGCGTATCTAGCCGAAAGTCGTCGGTTCGAATCCCGCTCGTGACACTGACTTTTTTTATCTCAATTAAAAACCTTAATTAATTGAAAGATATTAATTGGACCTCGAAAACTAGTGAATTCTTGAGAAACTAAAATCCCTGTTTAAATTTTGATTTCCTCCTGTGGTCTTGATATTATCATTTTTTTTTTTTTTTTAACATTCTGAGTTCGGAGTATGGCATTATGCAAAAAAAAGAAAGACTGGGATGAAAATATATTTATTATCATTAAGTAGGTACATTGGTCACAAATGATATTGTTATGATATGGCTTACACTTCAATTTCTTCATATTGCTATTAATGGACATTTTTTATTATGCTCTTTTACATTTATTATTATTATTAAAAAAAAAAAGAAACACTAAAATAAAAATTTTACAAACTAATTTGGCCATTTGCACAGCATTGTGTAATACTCGAAAATCTTTTGGAAATAAACATTATATCACAATATTTCTCTAATGGGATTTTGATGGTTTATATTTTTAATAATAAGCAATACAGATTTATATATATATGTATATTTATTTATTTTATTTTTATTTTTTTATTTTTTTTTGGGGAGGGGGGTAAGATAGGCCTTTTTTTATACATTTATTTATTTATTAAATTTGGCATTGGTGCTTCTTATTGCCTAATTTTGACATTTAATACGTCTATATTTAAAATTGTGCCACCGATTTTTGGGTTGTCATTCTTTCTACTTTACCTTACAGACTAGTTTTGACTTTTTTGAAAATAGAAAATTGCTGCTTTGATAAGGGGAGGAGAGGTTTACATTTTTGGGTTTTAACGGTAAATTCAAATTCTTGAGATATTAGACACCAGGTTTATCCAAGTTGGAATATTATTATTTATTTTAATTCGATTAATTAATCAAAGATTTGTGTAGGGAAGGCACGGGATTTCAAGAAAAAAATGGTACTATAATAATTAATATAAAAAGATAATTTGTTATATTAAATGTGTCGAAACGCTTCGACAGCGGCAAATAGCCAGTGGTATTTCCCAAATTTGCTCTTACTCTTTGGCTTTTACTTGAAGGAAAAATAAAGAGAGAGCGGATCCCAGGGCAGATTTTTCTTTTTAAATCAGATTGATCTCTCAATTCGGTTCAAAAGGGTTGTAAAATTACTCGAAATAACAGTAGATTTTAGCCGGCCAGTCGACGCTGTCGGCGTTCTCACTGAAGCTCGCGTTTTTAAAATCTAAATCGATGACTAGAGCAGCCGTTCCATTTCATGGCTCGACGGCTCCTGGTCGCTCTCATCCGACATGGGCCCGACGTCCGATCCGGACCAGTGCTCGAATTCTTCCTTATGGTGTTCCAAAGCCATGAGCGATGAGAAAAGGCTGTCACAGGACGAACAACTGTTCAAACATAAAATCGACACAAAGTTTCAAAACTCGTTAACTCTTCCGTGCCTCAAGGGGTGGGTTGAATTAACCTCGAAACTTTGTTAATTTGAAACAGAACATCAAACAAAGGGCATGACTGATATGCAAATCGAACATACCCAAAGTGTCGCTTTTTCTTTTGATGTCGAGAAAGCTGGCTCTGCGAACAGAAAAACCTATCGCAGACGTTGCACGTCAAATTCTCCTCTGGAAAATAAAACAGTTTAACTTAGCATCTAAGTTTTGACTTGAACTTGTTACAAACCGTAATCCGAATCTTGTGACAGTTCCTCTTCAAACTCGATCTCTGATCTGCTCCCACCGGAGTCGGACTCCACCTCGGCCATATTCCAGACATTCTCGACCTTCTTTTCATAGTTGTTACAAATCGTTTCTGTTTCCTCAGTACCACAGAGCTTGTTGTAGCCTCCTGAGGTCATGTTAATTATAAATAAAATCAAAATTACAAAGATTATTCTTATACAATTATAAAACCTGAATTGATAAGGAAAATAAATACAATTTTTCTTCTGTTCTTTAACATTTTAATTTAACCTCAAATAAAACTTTCAAATTATTAATTAACAAGTTTTATTATCCGATAATGCTGAGAATTTATCCAATATAAACTGCTGTTTGTGATAAATAGGTTCTTGAAACTTTTAAACTATTAATTGAAAAAAAAATCAGCCATTTTTGTGTTTGGCATCAGTCCCGCCATCTCACTCTGTACATTCACTCTAATATATACAAAACAAAATATTTACCAAGTACTATATACAATAAAACAGTCGTTTCCTAACAAAACAAAAAAAAAAAAAAAAAAAAAAAAAAAAAAAAAAAAAAAAAAAAACGAATCGATTGACATTCCTATTTTCTCTTTATATGGAGCCAAGGGATGTCACCATCGGCACATCAAGCAACCTTTCTCTACATGCTGGACACACAAGCTTGCTTTGGCTCAAAAGTAAGTGTCCATGAGTCAACCTCGCATGACCTATTCTTAGCCTGGTGAGTATTATCTCATTCTTTTCTAATCCTCCAAAACCTTTCAAATGTTTTATTTGAACTTTTTTATTTTCATAATTACTGTCTAGATTCAATGAAGTTAAATTTGAACATTTCATTCCACTGGCTCGTCCTCGGTGTATTTAATTTAAGGTTAAAAAATAAATAAATAAACTGGATCCAGACTGAAATGCACTAAAAAAAAAAAAAAAAAAAAAAAAAAAAAAAAAAAAAAAAAAACCTGAAAAAAAAAAAAAAAAAAAAAAAAAGAAAGAAAGAAAGAAAGAAAAACCTGTAAATAAAACAATGACAACTTTATCTAAACATTCTATTCCGTGTAAACTTTGCAAGAGAAATCATACTTCCTCTCACATTATGAAAAAATATGTGTGAATTTATATTTTATTATAATATGATAATTACTGACGAGATTTAATGAAGTTAAATATTAATGTTTCAGTCCCTTGCTCTTCCTCGGCGAATTTTGTTAAAGGTCAAAAAAAAATTAATAAATAAACCAGGGAGAATCCAGACTGGAATGCATTAATATTTAAATTTTATTTCATTACATTTAAAAAGCCTGTAACTAAAAAGCCGATAACTTAATATAAGCAAACAAATTATTCCGTGTAAATTTGTGCAAGAGAAATCATACTTTTTCTTGTATTATGCAAATTTGCAGTAAATTTGAATGTTATTCATTATTATTTTATGATTACTGTCTAGGTTTATTAAAGTTAAATTTTAAAATTTCAGATATTATTTTGTGAAAGAGAGAGAGAGGGGCGGGGTGATAGAAAAAGAGAAGAATGGAGGAGGGAAAGAGAAGAAGAAGAAGAGAGAGAGATATGTAAAAAGAGAGGAGAGGAGAAGAAGAAAGAGATGGAAAAAGAGAGGAGTGAACAAGGAAGAGAGAGAGAGTGAGAGGGAATGAGAAAGAAAGAATAAAGAAAGGAGAGAGAGAGAGAGAGAGAGAGAGACTTTTTTAAAATACTACAATAAAAATCATAAAACTAGACAGCAGATATTTCGGTGAAAGTTGAAGACAGAGTTTAAGAAAATGAAGCAAATTGAATATGGCACCATGTCAGCATATTGATTTATATGTGATTGGTCGTATTTTTATGAATATTTGCAATAGAGAAAAAAACATTGAATATGAATTTTGTTATTGTTGAAGGTAAAGACCTGTATCTAATATAAATGTAAATTTAACTTAAAAGAATGACACTCAAGTAGGATAGGATTTTGATCTGAGCATTCTAAGGCAGATAGTTGATAAAGTCCTGCATGTGTTGTCTCGTCTAATTTATATGTAAATTTCACCCATCGTATGCATATTGTCAATGGCCTCTGTGCTGTCACCCATCAAAATTGGAATTAGGGTCGGATTTGGTTTAATCAATATCGAAGAAACGTAATGAGAGGGTGGGAAAAGTTTTCCATTGGAGTTTTAGTACATTAGGGCCGATTTAAAATAGCCGTTTCCAAGGGGAAACGCGTAGCCGCCACTCCCCACGGCGTGGTGCAGGGGTGAAGGGTGGGCGTAGCGCGACCCACCGTCCATTGCTTTTGCCCATGGGTCATCGGGTCAATTTTGGTCAATTTACCCGTGTTGGCCGACTGGACGACGTTGTTATTGATCGAATTGAAGAATGACACCGCAGTCGAGGTGAGCCGGGATTTCTTGAGGATCCAGAACATGCCGGTGGATGACGGGGCCCGAACTGGGGGTGCGGCCTTTCGATCACCCGGGGTGGCTATTCGCGCAGCCGCCCGCACATCCCCCGGACCAGAATTCACTCTCACCCACCCTTACTTCAAAACCAAAAAAAAAAAAAAAAAAATTAAATGCATATTTAACTCCACATACCATCAGTGCCTATGTCTCAATCCATCCCTTGTGCTATTTATATCAGAACTGTTTAGTTTCCACGATAATTTTCATTATAATAACATAACGTCTAATTAGACAGGAAGCATACAAAATGAGAACATTTCTTTGTTAATCTGATAGAAACTTTTGGTCCAACTGTTGGTAAGTGACCTCTCCGCTTGATCCTCTGATTTATTAGAAAGGCAGTTAGAAAGTAATGTCAGATTTTTTTTTACTTTTTATTTTAAAAAATAGCCAGTTACAGGATTACAGTTACTTTATATGTATAAGGCATTTATTGCAGTTTATATATATGTCCATATGGTGACGGGTGTTGATGTATACCCTGAATGTTGGCAGGTAGTTCCACGTTGTCAACCTCCGCAGCTTTCCAAATGTCCTGACGACGTTTATCAGTTAGAGGAATTCCAAAAAGACGTGATTAGAGTCCTCTATGTTCCACATGGCAAATGGCTGAGTACTTGATCCTAAGACTGCTTAGTTGAGACCCTTAGATAGATACACCTTAGGAGGAACATGGTCGTGAAGAATTGTCTTTTTTCTTTATAAGAATTATACCACGCGATTATGTGAATATATGCTTCCATAGAATTTTCCTTTTTCCGTATTTTTCCCTGTCGTCGCTTCTTTTGCTAGGTAGTCACCTTTTCGTTCCCCTGAACCCCGGCATGTCCATTAGTCTCCATTTGTCTATATGATCGCGGCAGATCAGCATTTATCTCTTTTATATTTATGCCATAAGGGATCGTATTGTGTATACTATTTTCGGGCTTTTGGCAGTAGGTGATTTAATGCTTAACATTGCACTTTGGGAATCTGAAATAACGACTCGGTTCTTCGTAGAAATGTGGCATGTAGCAACTTTACTGCAACAAGCTCTGCCGTGAAAACCGAGGCTTTTTTAGAAAGTTGCAATTGGGCGTGGTATTTATAATTTATATGGTATATGCTGCTCCTACTCCAGTTTCATAACCATCCCTAACCATATGTCAGATAGGAAAGTCTATTGACTAACTTTTCTCTTTTTCTCCCTCCAATTTGTCCTATTTTGTACTACAGGCCATCAAATAGTATTTTTAAAACGATGAGATACTAGAGAGGAAGAACATGCCTCGTGGATCGAAATTCAATGAAATTTAAAGCATAGGACAAAATGTAAAAAGGGAATCCTTAAAATCTTAATCAAAAAGGTTTTGTTCACCATTTTTTCAACAAGAACACCAGCCCATTCCTTACTCTCATCAAAAACAGCGTCCAGCCATGTCATCTCATATTGTACACCCCGTGAAGGCGAGAAAAAAACCTGTGTAACAATGGCAAAAGACTATGGTAAAGCATATAAAAGGGCCGTTTAATTTATTTTAAAAAGCCCGATAATTGTAAAAAGCTATAACCAACTTGTCCATCGAGATACCAAGGATGGTTCACAATGAAAAAACATACACACCTCTATGAACATTTAATTTTCATTTACCAAAATTGAAACCATCAATTTACCTCAAACCCCTCACATTCCATGATTCGATTCTGGAAATATCGACCACTTTTTCTTTTACGTACACTCTGGATCATCAGGGAAAATCAATCTTAAATTTGTCTAAATATTTAAGATTGTTTTGCTCTGATGATGACCTCAAATTAGGTCGAAACCTTTGCAAAAACAACTGAATTTGCATCCTTCTTAAAGACCATACCTTGATCCAGCGCTTTCTGTGTGATGATGATGATGTGATCCAGTATTCCTGCTCTCTTTTTACTTCCATAGTCAAACATGCCATACATCACCGGCATTGATAAAACAGTCCTGTTTAACCTTTTTTTTTATCTCATATTTAAATATTTTTCGACTATAATCTTAGCTTTAAAACATAATTTTTCATTATAAACCGAAATTCTATGTTGTTCTATGTCCGAAGCACGAAATGTTGTTAAGTTGGCAGCACTTATCAGACAGGAAGTCGGTCTCCTATTCACTTAGGAAAATCATTAGATCAAATTGATCAAAATTGTTATTAAAAAGTTATATTTAATTGTTTATACCATAAAAAACACAATTGTTTAGTATTTTTTTGCATTCTTAGGATTACAATTGTTAAAATAAGTTCACTAATTCCGTGGTCCGCTTGATCAATTAATATATTACAATTAATTAAGGTTTTTAGTTGAGATAAAAAGTCAATGGCACGAGCGGGATGAAAAAATGATGAAAAATGGCAAAAAGGAGGGAAAATTCAAAAGGTGGGGTTGAGATGGGAAGTTAGTGTCCGAGTCTCCGAGTGGATCGAAGTCACGATAGCTCAAGTGGTAAAGCAGCGGCCGAATATCGTGGGTTCGTATCCCGCTCGTGCCATTGAATTTTTTATCTCAACTAAAAACCTTAATTGATTGTGTTAAAATAAGGTTGTTGGCCACATAGACTGACGTGATCAATACAGGATATTTAAGAAACGTAAATTTGCCATGCTTAGTTTCAAAACTTTGTAAGTTTGAACTGTTTTTCATAGATTTTTACGTATATTTGTTCTTAATTAACATATTCCGTTGTGTTTTTCCCTTTTTTATCGATTAGGGAATTATATGTTAGTGACAAGTTGGCCAACCTGGCTTACATAAACTCAAAATTGTGTAGCTCGAGACGCTTCTGGTAGGTTAGACAGAGGGTTGTGTACTCTCTTTCGCTAAGCCGGTTTTCAGTTGGATCGGTTCGAAGTTAAGTGAAAATATTTATTTAAAAAATCATAAAAAGAGCATAATTTGCAATGGCTTTGACATGCCTCAACGAGGAGACGCGCACCAAGTTGAAAGAATCTCCAGTCTTGGTCGTTGGCGCTGGAGGGATCGGCTGCGAGCTGCTCAAAAACCTAGTCATGACCGGCTTCGAGAACATCGAAATCGTGAGTCCAAATATTAATTTTTTTACAGTTTTTTTTCTATTTTAACTCGGAAAATCCGTCGGTTATTTGAATTTTGAGACAAAAAGGGTTACCTTGTTTTATTCTCAAGGGTTAACAGATTGCTCTCTTGATCGTGTATGTTTAGTAAAACGTGGGTACGCTGAGTAGTCCATTTGAAAAGTCTATCTTTTGAAAGCAAAAAATACTTAGAAGTTAATGACAACTTGGTGATTCTCTGTTTATAAAGATACTCGACTAATCTAAAAAAAAAAAATCTGTCTAGTTGGCTGTAAATAATGAAACTTACAATAAACATAAACTTGGCGGAGTTAATCGAATCTTAAGGTTCAACTACCAGAAATAAAGACAGCCTAGAAGTTAGAATTGATGATGATTGCAAGTCTGTAAACTTATGTTGAATTGCAGGGTCACTTACAGCGCCTGTCTCTACAAAGTGGAAAGGACAGATCCAATAAGTGACCGATTCGACATGAGCCTATAAGCTTCTGTGTATCAACTTGGTAGCATTTGTGTATAAAGCTAGGAATAAATAGGCATTTATTGTTACTAAAACATTGAACAATTATGCAAAATCTGTTGAAGAGTCGATTCATTAAAAGAAATTAACCTTGTAATAAACTTACCCCCTCCATATTTAATCAAATTTGAAGGTTCAACTACTAAAAATAAATTATTATTTGGAGATCATAAGATGTGGTCTGGTGAGACGTAGGTTTTTATAAAAACATTTTCTTTATCGTGCCAACGTTTTGACCTTTATTGAGATCATCTTCAGGGCCTGGAATTTATAAACATTGTTTAAATTATACAAATACATATATGTAGGATGTGAAGAAAGTGAATTTATACAATACTTGAAATTTTAGAGTCAATCAAAGTATTTGTACTCACTTTATTGAGTCTAAAATTTCAAGCATTGTATAAATAAACTTTTTCACATCCTAATGTAATAGGATCAATTTAAACAATGATTATAAATCCCAGGCCCCAAAGATGATCTCAATAAAGATCGAAACGTTGGCACGATAAAGAAAATCTTTTTCTAAAACCTATGCCTCATCAGATCGCATCTCACGGTCTCCAAATAATCATTAACTAACGGTCACTAAACACCACACGCTAAAAATAAAGATAGCCTAGAAATTGCTGGATGTCAAGTTGGTGGTAATTTGTTTGTAAAGAAGCTAAGAATAAATAGGCTTTTCTCGTTGCTAAGCCATTAAAAAAAATATATATGCAAAATCTGTTGACGAGTGGATTCATTGAAAGAAATTGACCAGTTAATAAACTTACCCCCCACTTTTAATCAAATTTGAAGGTTCAACAACTAGAAATTAAAACAGCCTAGAAATTTCCGTGTGTCATCTTGGTGGTTTTCTGTATGTAAAGAAGCTAAGAAGGGGCATCGGTTGCCACAACAGCTACGGTGTTGACACGGCACTCATCATTGTAAGGTAAAAGTTCGAATCCAGCAGCCTTGAATTTGAACCAACATACTTACAAATTAGTTTCCCCCCCCAAAACACTGGCACTCTGAGGGTTCATATGACTGCCTCTTCTGTTGTGGATGCTCTAAAAAAAATAAGGGTTAAAACAAATAGTCATTTCTCATGTCTAAACCTTTAAAAAATTATGCAACGTCGCTTGATGAGTTGATTCAGACAAAGAAATGTAACCCCCCCACATTTAATAAAATTTAAAGATTCACCTACTAGAAATAAAAACAGACTAGAAGTTTCTGTGTGTCATCTTGGTGGTTTTTTGTATATAAAAGAAGTTAAGAAGGGGCGTTGGTTGCCACAACAGCTAAGGTGTTGGCATGGCACTCATCATTGTAAGGTAAAGGCCCAACATACTTACAATTTGGCTTCCCCTCACACCAACAAAAAAAAAAAAAAACACCGGCACGCTGACGGTGGTTATGTGGATATGACTGACCTCTGCTTTTGTGAGTATTCTTAAAAATAAAAAATAAATAAATAAAGCTAAGAATAAATAGCCATTTCTCATGTCTAAACCTTCAAAAAATTGTGCAACATCTCTTGGCGAGTTATGGTTAAGACTCAATACCTCAGATAGGACACACTCACACACTCTTGAAATGATATAGCAACAGTATACAGGCCAGAATGCGTGCATTGAACTGTGAACCTAACAAAATATTCACATTTTTGTCATCTGGATCCGTGTAAATAGCAACTTCTTATCTATCTACCTACCTCTGATCTCCCTCCATAGTTTATCAATGTTGAAGGGTCAGCTTCTATAGGTGAAGACAACTCAAGTTTCATTGAGTCGACAATAAAAACAATAAATAAAAGTAAAACTGAAAAACGAACAACAGAAAAATAGTCAATAGTAAACAGCCAACAAGCAAGTTCACAGCCCAAAATTTGCCAATTTATTAAATAAAATATGAAGAATCAGCGCAATAGCTGAAGATAGCCAAGGTTCTCTCATGAGTTGGCTTATCGATATTCGTTATAGAAATAGTAGTAAGCTTCTTAAAAGGTATACTGTAATCTGTGTGATCGTTTGGTACTGTGTTATAACTTAAATATTGCTTCATGTGCATGACTTCAAAGGTTTGACATTTTATTTTCTGTTTTGCAGATTGATTTGGATACGATTGAAGTCAGCAATTTGAACAGGCAATTTCTGTTCCAAAAGCAGCATGTTGGCCAGTCCAAGGCCAAAGTAGCAAAAGAAAGCGTACTGAGGTTTAACCCAGCGTCTAAAATTGTCGCACACCATGCGAGTGTTATTGGGTATGAGTTTTTTTTATGCCATGTTTAGTTGTATCATCTAATTTTTTTTTTTTTTATTACAGCCCGGAATACAATGTCAATTATTTCAAGAGGTTCAAGCTTGTGCTCAATGCCCTTGACAACCTAGCCGCTAGGGGGCATGTGAACAGAATGTGCTTGGCAGCGGGAGTACCGCTTGTTGAATCAGGGACAGCAGGATACTCAGGACAAGTGGAAATCATCATTAAAGGGCTTACAAAATGCTATGAATGCGAACCCAAGCCGCAGCCTAAGGTTTATGCGAGTTGCACTATAAGAAACACACCATCGGAGCACATCCACTGCACCATTTGGGCAAAATATTTATTTAAGTAATTACTTTTTGTCTGTTTTTTAAAATATAGAGGGTTCTTAACTCCCCTAATTTGAAAGGTCTGAAAGACCTGTTAAGTCCATTTTATAAGCCTTGGTACAGGTGGTATGAGTTAATTTTATCATTTTAAGATGCCATAAATTTTCAGTCAATTATTCGGAGAAGAGGATGCCGACGTGGATGTCTCACCCGATACAGTAACTGACCCGGAAATCTCCGGGGATCCGAACGCTGCAATTAAAAAGCCCACAACGTCCACAAGAAACTGGGCAAAACAGAACGGCTATGAGCCGGAAAAGATCTTTTCAAAACTGTTCACTGAGGATATAAAATACCTGCTCACGATGGACAAGCTCTGGGAGAAACGGCGCAAGCCGGAGCCACTCGAGTGGGGCAACATACCAGAGACGTCGAGCTCCTCACCTTCGTCGACGTCCGTAATCAAAGACCAGAGGCAATGGTCTCTAAAAGAGTGCGTCGAGGTGTTCTCAGACAACCTACTGAAGCTCAAAGAAATCTCAGAGGTATTTCAAAGAGTTTATTACTAAAAATAAATAAATAAACATTTTAACATTATTTATTTTTGGCCTAATAGAAATTAGATCCGGGAAGTTATCTTATTTGGGACAAAGATGAGGAAGTACATATGAACTTTGTGGCATCTTGCGCCAACCTAAGAGCGCACGTATTTCACATCCCAATGAAGACCAAATTTGACATCAAGTGTAATATAAATTATTAAACCATTTCAAAACCCCAAAATAATAATAATAAAATAACAATTTTATTTATTTTTTATAGCCATGGCGGGAAATATTATTCCAGCAATAGCTACAAGCAACGCTGTGATTGCTGGCATGGTTACTCACTACGCATTAAAAATCCTTGAAGGAAGGTAATGTAAATATAGTAAATAATTAATTTTATATTTTTGATTGGTTTTATTTAAATTTGTTTGCCTTCAGGTTTCAGGATTGTCCGAGTGTCTACCTAAGGCAGGGTGTGACTGCAAGGGGCATGCAGATAGTGCCTGAAAAGGGCCTCCAGCCGCCAAACCCAAAGTGCCGGGTGTGCGGTGATACACCTCAGCTCACGCTTGTCACAAACTTGGCAAAGATGACATGCAAAGAGTTTGAGTCATCCGTCCTTAAACGCAAGCTTAACATGCCTGCCCCAGACGTCTGCCTTTACAATAAGGTCATAATCTCAAGCGATCCTGAAGAGACGGAGCAGAACAATGAAAAAACCCTTAAGGTGAGGGCTTATAAAACAAGAATATTATATTACTAAGCACACTAACGCTCACAAACATACATTTACACAAATGGACATTATTTATTCAGCTATAGGGTCATTCACAATTATATGCTTATATGTAAGTCATTCATTTACATGTGCATTTGTACATACATTTATTCACAAATATATGCTTACATGTATAGTCATTCATTTACATATGCATTTCTCCATATATTTATTCACAAATACATGCTTTATGTAAGTCATTCATTTATATGTGCATTTTTACATACATTTATTCACAATTACTTTTTTATATGTAAATCATTCATTTACATATGCAGTTCCATATATTTATTAACAAATATATGCTTACATGTATAATCATTCATTTACATATGCAGTTTCCATATATTTATTCACAATTGTATGTGTAGTCATTCATTCAGATGTGCAGTCATCTATATATTTATTCACAAATACATGTTTATATGTAAGTCATTCATTTATATGTGCATTTGTACATACATTTATTCACAATTACATTTTTATATGTAAATCAATCATTTACATATGCAGTTTCCATATATTTATTCACAAATATATGCTTACATGTATAGTCATTCATTTACATATGCATTTCTCCATATATTTATTCACAATTATATGTATAGTCATTTATTCAAATGTGCAGTTGTCTTTACATTTATTCACAAATACATGCTTATATGTATAGTCATTCATTTACATGTGCATTTGTACATACATTTATTCACAATTATATGCATATATGTATGTATAAGCATTATGTCACATTTGTCTATCAAGTTATTTAATTTCAATTTAATGATATTTCTCTATGTATATAAATATATATCTGTCTCAGACTATGTATATAAATCCTTATATTAGGAGTGAGGACCATGGTAGCCATCATACTAACAGTTCTGAGATCAAAACCTGGCATAACCCATGACTTTTTTGATAATAGTATGAAAAATTATTTGACTCCCTCATCTACAACATGTTAGACGTTAAACACTTCTCTATGACAGGAATTGCTTCACTTTACTTTAAATCCATGAAATATTATATAGTGTATAAATTTTATTATAATTAAATATAATAAAGAAGGAATTTATACTGTTCACTTATTTGATTATTGTTGCTTTATTTTAATTTGTTTTATTTTTCTTCCAGGAAATGGGAGTGGCAGATGGTGCAATTTTAGATGTTGATGACTTCTTGCAAACATATTCCCTAAAATTAATTTTAACCCACAGGTAATGGCCTTTTTATAAAACAATTCTGCAATAAAAATTAATTTTGTTTAATGTTTGTATCAATCTGAACCAAATTTGAAATCATTTTTCTTTTTACAGAGAAATGAAACCCGGCGAGCCGGACTTCTTCATAGTCGGCGATATGTCTGAGTTAAAAAAAGAGATCGAGAAAGCGTCTCAAGAATACAAGAAGGTGACAAATGGGAAAGACGAGGACATGGAGATCGTAGACGACAAAGAATCGAGGAGCAAGAGGAAATCGGAAACGATCTCCGTTCCGGCTAAAAAGCGGAAAACGGAAGATTCCCCTGAATCTGACTCAGATGATGTTGTACCACTGTAGTGATGAAACTTGACGTTTTTACAATTCAAAAACAAAATTGTCTCGCTGTTAGGTGGAATTCTAACAGGCACCGATGTACATTTTTTTGTATCATTTATAATAATAAACCTAGTTTTACTTTGTTATCCACCAAAAAAAAAAAAAAAAAAAAAAGAAAGAAAGAAAAATCATTTACTTTCTAGCTTAGGATAACAAATATGTTTTGTTTTTAAATAAATGTTTATTGTGTATTAACGTTTTTTTTTTCTTCTTCTTCTTCTTCTCTCCTTGCACACATAGACTATACCTGGGTAGGAATAGATCACTGATAATATTTTTTTCAGGTACCACCAATACTGAGAAGGTTGACCCTTTGCATATAAATAATTCGGACGTGCACGATGTGAGTTTTTTGGAAGGAGGGCATTTCCCAGTTAAGACTGAATTGTTGTCGATCCATGGCACTCGGAGGAAACAGCTTAGTTGCCGACATTGCAGCAAGTACACAGTGTTTTATTGCCGAGGCTGCAAGGAGAGAACAGGCCTCTGCCCGGAATGCTTTGGACGATTTCACCGTCAGCAATGAAAATGTTTGTAAATTATTTTGTTGTGAATAAAATTATTTAAAAAAAAATCCAGTAAATAAGAAACACCATTTGCTTCTGTCTTAATTGAATTAAATGGATAGAAATAAATTGAAAGAGAAAGAGTTGTTTAATAGTGAGAAATACCTTTCTAGGAATAAATGCAATAAAAACAAGGTCCTGCTCTCGCAAACAATAGTTCAAACCTAAAGAATAATGGCTCGGTTCAAAACGGTCGTCTTTAGAACATTAAAAAGGTAATATATACTTTAAAAATAATATTATTAAAGTGAAAGGTGAAGAAAGGGTTAAGGGGGCATTGGTGGCTCTATGGTTTATGCATTGACATGGCACTCATCGCTATAAGGTTTCCCACTTACAACAAATGGGCTTTTTTTCAGAAACACCAACACCTGAGGGTTCATATATCCATATATAGTTAAAACACCCTCATAAAAAAAAGGTTATGAATAAAGTGAATGTGAAGAGAGATATTGATACTTAATGAGAAAAACAATTGAGAGTAATGGAGTAAGAGAGAGATGGATAAAGTGAATATGAATAGAGAGAAAAGAGACTGCTATAAGATACCAATTTTTAGTTGTTTAGGATGTTCGGTCACGACCTTTTTCTGTACGAAGGCGACTGATGGGACATTGCGCAGCATGGTTTCATTCACACAGTTCATACAGTATCGAGTAAATCCAACTCTTCATACGCCTTCTTTGAAGCTTTTAAAAAATGGATAGAAGTGACATTTTTGGTAACGACTAACAAATTTCATTAATTCAAACATCCCATGCTTTACAACAGCAGTTACCACAATTGTGCGGATAAAGTAAAAAAAAATACATTATGAAATGTGGGTGAACCCACATTAATCCACTTTTACTTGTTTTTGTTTAATTAAATGTCAATTAAATATGACAATCTTCCATTATAAAAATGCTTCTAAATCATCCATTATAAAAATATTACCAAATGAAACATGTAGGTTGTTAAAACACTTGGGAGAGGATCAAGAAGAAATGAAGGGTAGGCGGCTGAATCTGCTCGCCAGAAGAATCACATGGATAATTTTTGTACCTTACACTGTTCGCCTCCATGTGAACCAGGACTTAGTCTGAAAAGTCTTGGTTCACCACACCACTGACCCACATAGGGTCATAGTTGAATGTGTCCATTTTGTGTAGGTGTTTTCTCAGATGATAGGTCTTTCATTCTGTGTTTTACCCTCTCTAACTATAGCTGAGTTTGCCATTTTTGATTAGTTGGCCTGGCACTTCTGGAGTTCTTCCACTTTTTTTTTTTTTTTTTTTGGTAGACCCATTCTAGGATGGAGTTATGGTATAGTAGACGGATAGTAGGAAGCTTGTGCTCCCCAGGCACCAGCCTTCTGGCTTATTGTACCTTCCTAGTTCCATAGTTCAGCATAATCGACTTAATCCATCTTCTCAGAAATTCAGTCGACTGTCGCTGCTACAATTTCATTCCCTTGGTTTTTTCTGTATGCTAGGTTAAATCTCCATTGAACCATTGCTTTGAAGAAGTTATGGGTGACGTTTCCTCCTCCTCATTGGATAATCTCCAGTTCATCATTATATATGCCCACGTTGTGTAGATGTTTTCTCAGATACCAGTGACAGGTTAATAGTCCTATCATTCCTCTAAGTCTAGCCCAAACCAACTGCAGCAGTGAGTTTGACAGTCTTGGTGAGGGATGTTTTAACATGACTTTTCTGTGTCTAGTACTGCTAGAGTTTATCCACTTCTCCTTTTGTTTTATTTAGATTCATTCTGTGATGGAGGAGTCATTATTTGTTTTTGTTACCCCAAGTATAGGTTTGGGGCCTATGTATGGTATTGCAGATCTTCCTCTGGCCAATGTGTCTGCTTGTTCATTACCAAACTTCCTTCATGTCCTGGAACCCAAGATATCATCAGGTTGTTGTGTTTACCCAGGTGTTGCAGATTTTGGATGCATTCACTGACTAGTTTTGATGCAATTTTTTACACTGTAATGCTTGACTTGCACAGCTGCTTGACTATCATATCTTACAAGGTTTTTTTGCCAGTATAATTCCTTTTAAGATTTTCTAGGGCATGTGTTAAAGGCGTGTATTTCTGCTTGAAAGACCTTGCTTGATTGCTCATATCTTTGGCTTGTAGGGGAGGGAAAAAAACACCCGATCCGATTCCTTTGTTTGTTTTGGTGCTATCTATATATCATGTCATGGCATCTGATGATCTGAGATCTTCCTCTCCTTTACAGTCCGTTGAGACTTTATGGGAAGTTGTAAAGAATGTTTCCAGGGTCATATAGTCAGTCCCCTTTTCTAAGAATGGGTATCTGATTTTATTAATGGTTGTGTGCCCGAATTGTTTAGTTCCTGTCCAATTTGATTGTTTTGGAATCTAAATGAGCTTTTCCTAGCCTCTCCTTGTATAAATTTTTCCAGTGGAGATAGGTTTAGCAGAGTTTCTAGTACAGTTGTAGGGGGTTGTTCTCATTGCCCCCTGTGAAATATAGGTTTGTATGCTGCCTAGTGTTTGAGGAGCTACTTTTTGTTGTGCTTTGGTCCACCAAATTCCATAGTATTCCAAATACATACTCATTTGTCTAAAAATTAGGTATATTCTTCTCGTTGCATGGCCAGCTATGAGTCCTGATTTCACCCAAGATTTTTACATATCGGTAACTCTGAAAAGTGCAGTGTACAGCACACCCATTGAAACGAAGGGCTCCAGATCCGATTATTTTCGTTTGTTTTGAAGCTATCTGTATTTTTTATGTTTGCCTTTTTTTTGGAGGTTTTTTTATTTTATTTATTTATTTTTTTTAACGAGTGTTTTTTTTAAGGTTACCATGTGATTTTCTTTTTCAAAACTAGGCGGGATTTTTTGTCCAGGTTTGCCGCAAGGTAGCGCGTCCGAAGGCTCCCTCTCCTTTCCAACACCGCTTTCGCGTCCACCTTCAGTCGGCGGAATCGCTCATCTCGTTTTAGTTCAATTTTAGGTTAATTGTTTATAACAAAGTTCACTCAATTTGACATCGCAGGGATGACTTCTGTCGTGAAGAAGAAAGTCTGCTATTACTACGATAGTGAGTAAACGTACTTTTTGCCTATTTTTTAATTTACGGTTATGGTGTTTTAATTGATTTCCCCCCGACGGGATCGTTGTTTTGGGCTTTTTCCCATTGCGTTTCGGCCCGTTTTCGAATTGAATTTGAATCAGGGAAGAAATCGAGGGCTTAAAGGGGTTTAAAAGGGTTGTCGTATCGTTTTGGGGAGTAAGGGCGATCGGGACCTCATGAGCCGCAGATTCGAGCGGCCGTAGCGAGTGTTGATTTACACACGGCGTCCCGCTCCTCGGTTCAGAGGGAATTTTGAAAAAAAATTTGGAGACAATTTAAAAGAAAGATTTTCTCCGGGATCTGGGATCGATCGAACCGGCTCGTTTTTTGAAAGAATTCCCGTTGAAATTCGCTTAGGGGTACGTTTTGGAGTTTTTTTTTGGTTCGCGAATCTACGGTCGCCCGTTCCGACAAGCATCACGGTCCATGTCCGCCCGATCCGATTTGGAGACACTTTTTGCGCAATTTCTCCCTCTCGTCCCGAAATTTTTAAAAATTCCTAATTTTTGACGAAATTTATTTATTTTTTAAATGTTAACAGGCGACATCGGCAACTACTACTACGGACAGGGTCACCCGATGAAACCACACAGAATAAGGATGACCCATAATCTTCTCCTTAATTATGGCCTCTACAGGAAAATGGAAATCTATGTATGTATAATAAAATCTAAAAGTTCTTGTTTAAAAAAAAAGTTAAAAATATAGCCACTCTATTAGTTTATGACAAAAACTTTAGGGCAAATCGTTGATATATCATTTTTTATCTTGTATTACTCATAAATTTTAAAGTTAAGTTCATAGACCCCCAAGAGATGATTACATTTGTATTTTCTTTTAAGTGGTTATCTCTACATGCAACACAGTTCTTGAACTTTTGAGACTAATAATTACAAAAAAAATTTTTTTTATATTATTTTCAGAGGCCGCACAAAGCTACAGCCGAGGAAATGACAAAATTCCACAGCGACGAGTACATCAGGTTCCTCAGGAGTATCCGACCTGACAACATGACAGAATACAACAAACAGATGCAGAGGTGTAAGTATATATCGATGAAGAATATATTTATGAACTGTGTAAAGTATATTCAGGAAAGAAATGAATTTTTGATGCCCTAGGGAAAACTAAGGAGGCACCGTTTGATTAAAGTACAATATTATGCACTGGGAGTGTAAAGGTGTATAACTTGTTGTTTAAATATTTAAATAAAATACACTCTAATGTATACGGAAATCAATTAAAACTGATTGCTGTTGTGGCATGGATGTCATGGTGGGCCGCTTGATGCGGGGTGGTTAGCTCGCTTTTGGTAGGATTTCTGGTGGCTGAACAGCAGTGCCCGTGTTTAAGCCCTTGCTGTGGAACGGTGAGAATGGCCTTCTGATTCAATCAGCCCTAGTTAATAACTAAGACGGAAAGAAAAGTTTAATTTTATGGCTTTCATGGGGGTGCCATGCCAGTGGTGAGGAGGGCTTCCTCCTTTCTGGCTGTTCGCGGGGCATTCTGTGCAGTGCAAGACAAGGGGTTCACATGGTTGATGGCTATAAAAGGCATTACCACAAAAAAAGTATTTGGCTTCTAAAATCTCCAGGATTTTTCAATAATTCGATTTTATCATTTTTTGTGTTTTGAAGGATTTTTTATTCAATCATTATTGTTAACACACTCTGTAAAGACTTTATTTAAGGAGTTTTATTTTCTGCCAGTTTCATTGGATTGATTTTTACAAGGTGTTTTGTTCTGTTAAAGGAGGGGGAACTGTGATAGTGTGAGTTGTCAGTGTGACCGTTTTGAAGACTGCGGTTATGGGTTTAATTCCCACTGTCATCCCAGGCTTGTTTTTCCCCATGCTACCTTTTCCCAAAACACACTGCAATGGTTGGTCCACAGGGTGGCTCGGTTGGCCAAGTGATCATCACAAAATCTCAAGAATCACACTCCTTATTGCAGGAAATGTGCTGAGTGAACATCACATTGGCACTTCATTGAAATTTGCAGTTGATCTAGCAGAGCTCGGGGAAACCGTGCATGTGGAACTGATGCCGGGAGAGTTTGATATGACAAATTACTTCCTCCCTCAACAACCGATTCCCTAAACCATGTTTCCAAAGGCATATTCATTTCAAGTCTTCACATACTAATCATCATAGATTTCCGAGGTCGCTCATTACAACATCACCGATCCAATTCTAGCTTTAAATGGTACATTTCATTGGGGCCACCTTTGCCCTACGAACTCCATTTCATGAAATAAAACTCCTTTCAAAACAGAAAATCAAAAATTTGGTGGACCATTTTCGAACCAATTTCAAACAATACAGCGAAGGAGTCTGTCAAAACATGGGGCTCATCTTCTTTCAACAAGGAGAAAGACTGCATCTCTTGTTCCCTGAGCTGATCGGTGTATGATCAGTGCTGATTCTGCATTTATAGGTTGTACATGTAAATGTTAAAACATGTAAACTGTTTAAATTGTCTCAAAATGATAAAGCTCAGCTCAGACTTAGGAAAATTTGTGATGTGTGTGATGATTAAAGGCCGGATTTTTGTGCAGAAAAAACCCTTCAAAACTTGTAATAAAGCTAAAAACTCCCATTTAACAAAGTAATTGTTTAAAATTTACTTATTGTCTTACTTCTGTTTATCATGTGATTGTTTAGTTTATAATCAATTGATTATACTCATTTTTTATACTCAACATGCTCAAATATACAAAAATTTACAACCAGGTATGATAAAACAAATTTTTAATTATAATTTATACATAAAATAATAAGTACGCAATAAACAACTTAATGTACATTCGACTTTAAATAGTAAAAAATAATTACAGTAAATGCAAAAAATTAATTTTTTATAATTCAACACCATGCTGAGTTCGTTTTTTCTGTTTCGGGTTATACATTTTAACATCCAGAATGCATTTCAAAAGTTTTTTCCACTCTTCTTTAACACATTGAAGTTGGAGCCTGAAACGCTCTCAGCCCCCTGGGGGCATTTTTTTCTCATGAATGACCCACAGAGCAGTTTCTAATTTTCATAAAACCCGTTTTATTTTTAATGGTTATTATTATTATTTCACTTTTCGATTTTTCTTTTATAATACAGCAATTCTGATTAGTTGTTTTGACATTATTTGAGGGAGCATGGTTGAAAAAAAATAATATAAATATATTTTCATTATTAACTGATGTCTATAAGTTTCATGATCAGTTGAAGCCAGGAACATTGATGGGAAGCAATTCACAATAAGCAAAACTGTAGATGGTTAAATTTACATCAGTGGTAGGATAATAGCATAAAAAGAATCTAGTGACAATGAGATACATCACTATCGTGTTTATTGCTCAGAAAATATTTGTACCTTGAAAAAGGTGATGGGAGCTTACTTGCAGGAACTTAAAAAGTACTGGGTCGTTGATTCCTTGTATAAAAACTTAATGGTTTCCATTTAAGATTTTATTAATTTCCCCCAATTCAGTCAATCTGGTATTTTTGTCAAGGGTGTTTTTTAAATTTCTCTTGTAATATATAATTCCTGCATTGCCAGGGATATTATGAGTTTCTGTTTTGCTTTGAAAGGAAAAATCCAACATGATATTTAAAAAAAAAAGTTAAAAGTTCCCACTATTGGCATTTTTTTAGGTTACTAATTGTAAGTGGAAAATATGAAAAAGGACACTGAATTATGTTTGTTTTAAATGAGGCCCCTATTTCCATAACGTGGCTACTTCAAAACCCCTAATTTTCAGGAAAGGCAGAAAAATAAAATTTAAAAAACTACCTACAAGTTTTGGAAATAGGGCAGTTTGTTTATGTATTTGTTCCTGGATAGTTAGCTGAAATCTGATTTACATTTTAAACTCTTATTTTCCCCCCTCATGTTTGTTGTAGTAGCCTAATTTTTTATATTTTTTTTAAGTAATCAAAATTATTTCAAATTTGCAGAATTCTTCGAATATGCACAATAAAATTGGGACTGTTATTCCACAGAATTATCAATTGGATAAATATGGTTGTAAATGTTAGCAAAAAGAATGTGCAACTGCTTACAAATCTGAGCTCTAGTTTCAAAAACTATATAATATTGATTACATTTTTATTATTAACCATAAGATGAAAAACAAAGTGGGTTTTTAAATTTTCCTGGCTAGATGAAGATTGTACCAAAAATGGGCCAGTTTTCCCAATCATTGGCCTAAATTTGGATTGGCTGGTTAAAAGCTTCTTTGTCCAACCAAACAGTTCATTCTAGTGTGGTGGCTGAGTGGTTAGGGCTCCGACTCAGTGTTTGAATGCTAGCAGTTTTGGGTTCGAATCCAGCGAGCCCAATTTTATTTTAAATTGATAGTAGTATGCAAAATGCATTGTAAAGTTGTTTAACCTCTTGTCTGTGATATCCAATAGGTAGTTGGACTCTGAGCCCTCCTGCTTGACAGAAATTATTTTACTTTACTTTTTACTATTTAATAAAAAAGTTAAAAGTTAGCAATTGGCGAAAATTACCAGTATTTACTATCCTGCAAGGGCAAGGAAGTTGTTTTCCTGTAGTATAATGCTCTTCCTCATGTGTCTGCTGACGCTTTCCGCTATTCGCCAGACATTGCCCCTTCAGACTTTAATTTATTCTTGGTTCTGAAAGTCTTTTAATGGAAAAAACTTTACTTCACTTAAAGACTGTTAAAGATAGTCCATCAAGAAGTTCATCGTTAAAAAACAACTCAGAATTTTTTTTTTTAATAATTGTCCTTATGATCTTGCATATTTGCATAAGAAATGTGTGGATGCATAGGGTGATGATGGGAATCAAACCCAAGACTGCTGACCTTCGTGCCAAGAGTCTTATCACACTAACCACTCAACAACCACAGTCCTCCTACCTGAAATCTTCACTGATCAAAAAATGATACTGACTTATTTTTACAACCTGACATTTTTTTTTCAGGCTGACTGGAAAAACAATTATTATTGGGTTGTCCGGAAAATAATGCAGGATTTTGGTATTAAACAAAAAAAAAGAAACTAGTTACTTTAAAGCAATGTTCTTTAATCAAAATANAATGAGTAATCCTGTAAACGTAAACAGAATATTTTATATAGATTTTTTTTAATGAAAACTTAAAATCCTGCATTATTTTCCGGACAACCCGATATTATTCATTGATTATTAATGTTTTCATTTTTTTTTTACTTTAGTTAATGTCGGTGAGGACTGTCCTGTTTTTGACGGCCTCTACGAATTCTGCCAGCTTTCCGGTGGTGGCTCAGTTGCAGCAGCGGTCAAACTCAATAAACAGGCGGCGGACATCTGCATCAACTGGGGTGGCGGGCTACATCATGCCAAAAAATCTGAAGCTTCCGGATTCTGCTATGTCAACGATATTGTCTTAGGTATATCTTCTTTTTCTTTATTTTCGTTGTTGTTCTCTTTTCTAATAAGATCAATTTTTAGGAATTCTGGAATTGCTTAAATATCACCAAAGAGTGTTGTATATTGATATTGACGTTCATCACGGCGACGGAGTCGAAGAGGCGTTTTACACAACAGACAGGGTGATGACTGTGTCGTTTCACAAATACGGGGAATATTTCCCAGGAACCGGGGACCTAAGAGTGAGTTTTCTTTTCTTTTTTTTTTTCCAAACAATGTCATAGCTCAATATTCTTTCTTAAAAGGACATTGGAGCAGGAAAAGGGAAGTATTATGCAGTAAATATCCCACTGAGGGATGGGATGGATGATGAGAGCTACGAGTCCATTTTTGTTCCTATAATAACCAAAGTGATGGAGACATTCCAACCGAGCGCCGTAGTCCTGCAATGTGGAGCAGACTCGCTCACTGGTGACCGCCTCGGCTGTTTCAACCTGACGGTGCGCGGACATGGAAAGTGCGTCGAGTTCGTCAAAAAGTACAACTTGCCTTTCTTGATGGTCGGTGGTGGTGGATATACGATACGCAACGTCTCTCGCTGCTGGACGTACGAGACTTCAGTTGCCTTGGGCACTGATATCGCAAACGAGCTGCCTTACAATGACTACTTCGAATATTTCGGACCCGACTTCAAATTGCACATCTCGCCTTCGAACATGGCTAACCAGAACACGCCTGAATACCTCGAAAAAATCAAGTAAGATTTTTTATATTGTTATACCAACAAATAATCTGAGTTTATTGTTTAGACTTAGGATTTACAGTTGCGATTTCACTATTTACATGATAAAATAAATTATTTATTATACAAACTTATAATGTATAATGTTATTAAATTACTAAGTTAATGGATTTAAGCAAAATAATTTATTTTTAATTTACAGGACACGGTTGTTTGAGAATCTAAGAATGCTTCCACACGCTCCAGGAGTCCAGGCGCAAGGTAAATCAAAAATTGTTTAATTTGTTTGTAGTTTAGTAGTTTTCAAACTGAATTTGAATCACTATCAAAATCCAGGGTCTAGTAGGGTTTAGTAATGTTATATAATTTTGGGGGCATAGGCGCATAAATAATTTGTTGTTTCTATTCCTAGTTAATTCTATTCCATTTTAATGTTATTTTTGTTTTTATTTTAGCAATTCCTGAAGATGCTGTGAACGAAGACTCGGAGGATGAGGACGAAAAGGTAAACCCAGACGAGCGGTTGAATGAGGTCATCCAGGACAAACACATCTCGGGCGATAACGAGTTCTCAGAGTCAGAAGACGAGGGCGAAGGAGGCAGGAGGGACAACAGGAACTTCAACAAACAGAGAAAGAGGCCGCGCATTGAACCGCGAGTCGAAAGTACGGTCGATGACACTGCCGACCTCAAGGCGGATAAGGAGGAGAAGATGCAGGTTGACGAGTCGAGCAGCAAGGGCTCCGGTGTATGAACGCGCTAACGTCGTGTTTCTCCAAAGAGGCTCTCTATGTTGTGTGTCAAAGACAAAAACCATCACGTCATCCTGACCAGTATTATAGGCGAAAACAAATCTCACTGAACCCTCTCGTCGAACCGATAAAAGAACAACCTCTTTGGAAATCGGCTGTAATTTATATAAAGTTTATTTATATTTGTGAATTATAGATTGTTTTCCTTAGGGTTCGAATTTAATTTTTATTTATTTTTTATGTTAATTTTTGCCCATCAATTTTATGCCAATTTTTTTAAAATTTCTTTTATTTAAAATATACTCAATCTATTTTTTCCTTATTTTTTTTATGTATGTCTATGTCTGTAAGGAACTGATTTTTACACGTTCCATTTTCGTCCAATTATATCTCAATGTTTTTTAGTACATGAAAGGCAAAGAGAATTTGTTTTAAAAGAAAAATATTTTTATTAAGTATTACTTTTTTGACATCTTGTTAATCATAGGGAACAACAATATAAATTAAATAAATAAAAAAATCAATTTTTCTACGGATTTGTCTGAATCAAAGCAATTTTAATGATGTTAATATTATTTATATTATTAGTGTTTTTTGTTTAATTTTAACTAAATAATATAATCAATTTTACCAATCAATCATTTTAAGATATTTTAATAAGAAATATTTTTCACAAAAGCAAAACAATAATAAAAATGTAAATTATTTAGTTTTAGAGGGAGAGAGAGAGAGAGATAGAAATTTTTATTGAAATTTTGTGATAAAACAAGAATATATTGATAAATAATTGATGGTAGGAGGAAAAAGTTGATAATAAAAAAAGGAAAATAAAATCATGTTGCATATCTCCAGAATTAAATGTAGCGCCCCTACTCGTCCCTTGTACGCAATCGAAGATGAATGTATCAAATGGAAATTTACCGTTAAAGAAATAAAAATTCTATCAATGTACTCAGAATTTGTAAGAAAGGAAAAAATGGGGTCATCAGGAAAATGTAACTTGTACCTTTTGTGTACGGCTGAAACGCCAAATAAAACAAAAACAAGTCTCTAAAACTGTTAATAAAACGTTGTTTATTCTACCCTTTAACGATCAAGCATGTTTTCTCATTAAATCAATTAATTATATATCTAATTTATTTGTGTTATTCTAGAGTAGACTGTCGTAATTGTACAACAAGACTTTTGTATATTTAATAACAGGAAATACTTCAATGAATAAATATCCAATTGAAACTTTTAAAATTTATAAATTTGCATCAGTCTTGTTTTTCATAAATGTTCTTTTAAAACAATTTTAGCTTAAGACAACAGATTTAATTCTAAGCAATCACATTTTCAACTTTTAAGCTCCTTTAATAACCTGTATTTACTTTTCTTCAGCTGTAAACCAGGATTTTTTTTTAGAGATTTTACGAGAATTATTGAAAACGTCAAATATTACGGTTAACAAAAGCTAAACCGAAGATGAAAATATTCAAGCGATGTAATAATTATCTATGATTATCTTTGCTTTAACATATTACAGAAGATGTGAGATATAATAAAACTACTCTGAAAACAAGATAGGGCTTAAGAGGCAGCCATGACAATGAAAAAAAAAACAATCGTGTATAAATGTCAAATAAAAGGACTTAGGAAGTAACCCTGGAGAACAGATAGAGCTTCAAATGTAAGTATAATTATTTAAGCAACAAGCATTTTTCACCTCTTTTGTGAGATCTGATCACATGCAAAGGGAAATTATGAACGGAATTAAAGCATTACCCTTATGGTGTTAAGACTGCCCATGATTTGATGAGTACTGGAGTAGAAGCACATTTCAATGTGAATGATATGATGAACGAGGTGCTTTTTTTCAATACATTTTACTGATTTTTTTAAAAAATTCTCTTAGTGATTGCAGATAATTTACTGTTTAAAACACCTTACATGTTCATAACGTGAAATTAAGAAGAGGTTTGAAATAAAGCCAAGAAAAACATAAAAGGACTCACAAAAATTAATGAAAACGAGCAAAGAGGGGACTTAAAATGCAGCCTTGACCAACACCAGGTAGAATGCCTACTACATGTTGAAAAAAGAAAAAACTGGGAAGAAGAGACTAGGCGGACCCGAAGAGGAATTAAATATTCAACAATTACTGTACTCATTGTACAATTACTCAAGGTTTCGATTACTGTAAAGTGAAAGTAAGATGGGACTCATAATGCTGCCTTGGGAAACGCCTTATGATGAAATCTCAGCTTTATTGTGAGTTTATTTAATATTTATTAGAATAAGATTTTTGTTTTTAATTATAAAGCGAGCTTCTTTTTGGCAATTTATGCCAAAAGGAAAATTTCAAAATACGAGCACGTTTTAAGATTCAAAGATCGCTTTTTCGAGGGGAGAATGTAAACGCGCTAAAATAAAATGTGCCAAAAATGTTTTTGGCAGAAGGCAACTTTTTTCTTTTTCTTATTCGCTAAATGACTTTGATTGCGTGACAAGAAGAAAACGGGGTGTAAATGCCTAGGCACTTATCGATCCGAGGAGTTAGGGGGTGTAGAAGGGCACACTTGGCAAAGGGATGAGTCACCAGATACTCATGATTTCGGTCAGTTTTTGGACAAATTTGGAAAAGGGATGAAGTTTCTACAATGGGCAAGGATTTCAATTGAACAAATTAAAAACAAATGAAATAGGAATAACCGGCGTTTTGACAAGCCATCAATTTATAGAATAAAACGTCTACTTGTATCTTCTCCCTAGCCTAACTTCCCGATTTTGCGAATTTCACCCCTTTTCTGTTTATTTTAGGGAACAAATAAAAATTTATAGGGGTAAATCGTGTTGATTCGCCTACGGTAATCTCGCCACGGGGCAATTATCGTGACCCGATCGACAGAGTGGGCCATTAAAACGCTCCGAGCCGTTGCACGCGACCGAAACCCAATTTGGAGTCAATTGAACAATTTCGCCTTTTGCAAATTAACAATTTGTAAAAGCGGCCTGTTCCAATTCGAAAGAGGAAATTAACGAAAGGGTCTCGTTTGGTCAGGACCGGAACGAATTTGAAGTTCCAACAAAAACCGCGGTTTTTTAAACATTTAAATACGAAATAAAACATGTCGTTTCCTCTCTCGGTGGTTTGGCCATCACCACGCAGGGCTCAACGAAAAATTACACAAAAATCCGAGCATAGGACACCTCAAGTGTGTTGGATAAGGTGAGCACGATGAACAGTGGAACTGAGTAGGATGGCAAACTGGGCTTTCTATTTAGCTCATTGGACAGTTGACTGAGAGGATACTTCAACTGAGCGGACAGTTGAGCTGGCTGTTCAAAATAGCTGACAATCCAAATAATTGAGCTGAGCAGACAATTGAGCTGACTGTCCACATTAGTTGAGTTGATAACTTAGCTGAGCAGACAATTGAGTAGATTGGACAAATGAGCTGAGCACACAATTGAGCTGACTGTCCACAGTAGTTGAGCTGATAATTTAGCTGAGCAGACAATTGAGCCGACTGTCTAATTGAACTGACCACCCAATTGAGCTGATCACACAATTGAGCAGGCTCTCCAAATTAGTTGAGCTGACTGAAAAGTTGAGCTAAGAAGAGAATTGAACTGACTGTCCAAATGTAGCTGAGTGGTCCCTTAAACTGAGCGGACAATTGAGATGATCGGACAATTAAACTGACTTGACAATTGAACCGAGGTAGTAATTGTGCTGGCTGTCCAATTGAGCGGACAATCGAGATGATAACAATTAAACTGGCTAGATAATTGAGTCGTGGAAGTAGTTGAACTGACTGCTCAATTGTGCGGATAACTGAATTGAGTGACGGTCAATTTGGTCGAGCGGTCATCTGAACTGAGAGGACAACTGAGCTGAACTGACAGCAGAGCCTTTAGGACAATTGAGATGACTTCCTAATTTAGATGATCGTCCGAATTAGCTGGACGGACAATTAAGCTGACTAGATAATTGAGCCGAGCACATAATTGAGCTAACTGTCCACCTAAGCTGACGGTCAATTTGGTCGAGCGGTCATCTGAACTGAGAGGACAACTGAGCTGAACTGACAGCAGAGCCTTTAGGACAATTGAGATGACTTCCTAATTTAGATGACTGTTAAATTAGCTGATCAGACATTTATGCTAAGCGTATATCTGTGTCATGATGGTTTAGCGAAAAGAGAGATATTGTTAAATATTATTTTGCTTTTTGGATAAATATCGCAGCTAGCTTTCCTGTTTTCCAACAACCTTTTCTTCACCAAAAGAAATTGTCTTGTTTTTTCTTTGATTTTTATAATCAAGCGGGAAAAATTTCGATATTCTGGTCACACAGTCGCCGTTGTAACAAAAAAAACAACAACAAAAAACACATTTCTCCAACACCTGTCTATTTGTGTGTGTTACACAATTAAAATATAAAAAAACCTTTTTCCTTAAAAATTCAACTAACAAAATTTTCCGTGTAAGCAAAGCCAAAAAAACCGATCAAAAGGGCGGGAGGGAAAGTGTCAAAAAATTGCACTGTTTTGCAGAAAAGCCAAGTTGGAGAACACAGGAGGAACTACTGACGTCCCGTCATGGCTAGGCGTTTCATAAAGGTAGATTTTTCATTTCAACCCAAGTACTCGGTCCGCTACGTCTCGTTGTGCCGATCCGACGCCTGTTACTGAAGGACGTATATTTTTATCATATCGTCCAGTTTTAGTCTGTTATAAATAAATAAACAGCGAGACCGATCGGATATATGTGATGTTGGCTGACCCAATAGTTATCACAGAAACTACACTGTTTTCTGTAGTGAAGTTTAAAAACGCAACGATACACTGTTTTGGGTGGACCTTGCTTTCTAAACATAAATATTTGTTATGTGGTGTAACTTACATTAATTCTCGTCTCATTAGCACGTTTTTTAAGATTTACTTTTGTGTCTTTTTCGTCTGTTTTTGGTTGTAGGCTCTATAGCAAGGCCAATCTCGTATGTCTTCGCCTTTCGTTAATCATATTTTGTATAGTTAAAATTTATTTATGTGCATTAGTTTAGATTAGATTATATAGGAGCCGGCTTCTTTACGACCTGTGCACCGCGACCAGTATTGGTCTATTGTGCAAATTCATTTTTTTAAATCTAGAGCTCTTCGTTAAGCTTGAGCTTTTTACCAGATTACAAAGCTTTTTCAAGAGCTCCCGTGTGTATCCTTCAGGCCCTGGCTTTAACTCTCCCAGGATTAGGAATCTCAGCCTACATATAGGCCTTCGGACCAACAGATCTATTTCTTCTACTTCTTGGCAATATCTGCAGAGGCTTGTTTCTGCCACTCCTAGTCTATACGTATGCCTCCAGAGTCTACAGTGTGCCAACTATTATTCTAGTCCTAGGACGTCCTAGATTTAGTAGTTATGCCGTTAGTTTCTGCGCTGGTACTTTGATAAACTTTTTCGCGTGCCTCTGTCCCTGGGTACACTCCCATTGAGCGGAGGACTTATTAATCCAACGTCTAATGGATTCGCGTTTTTGGCAGTTTGGCCACAAAAGGATTTAAGGCCAATAGGAAACATTTAAGGCCAATTTATGGTCCTCTTCGTTGCCCCTCTGCTCATTGTGCCGTGGCACTCAGATAAGGGTAATTTTGTTATTTTCCCCAATGCCTCTGACAGGGCTCTGATGCAGTCCCAAACGACTCTGGACTTTTACATTAATAAATATATAATAAAAAATAATAAAAACAGTACTTTGCACATGTCAGGTACAAAACACACGCGCGCGCGCGAACTCTGACATTCATATGCTTGCCACAAGCATACAAACACTCAAATTTTGAACTCAGAGTTACTGCTTTGGTTTATCATGTTTTTTTTTTTTTTTTTTTTTTTTTTAAAGTTAAATGTTGCCTTTTTGGATGTACATAAATGAATATTGGAGTCGGAACATGTCGCTCACACGCGCGCGCACCACGGACAAACCTTTAGCCCAGCGTTACAACACTTTTTTTTGGCTAATTGCCTTACGACCGCAATAATAATTGCAACAAATCCCGTTTTTATCGCGATTTCTCGATTAAAAACCCCCAAAAATAATCAGAAAGAGGGAGCTCGGCGACTCACATACGCTAAACAACAGAGGGAAACGAGGTGGGGCTCGCCCAGTCGAGAGTCTGCGCCCTCCGCCGTCAAATATCCTCGGGGCTGGTCCTGAAAAAGGCACGGACGCCAGTGCCAACCCAGGAGGAAAACGCGATCGTGTCCTGTGGTGCGAGATCCGGTGGCCAGTAGAATAAGAAATGACGACCGAGGTGAGTTTCTCAGGCCATTTCTCAAACAAAATACAGGCGGATCCTCCTTAGACAAATTTCAAAGCTAGAAGGATTATTTAGGATCACAAATAGATAATAAATTTAAAAAAATTAATCTGCCATAACAAAAAATAAAATAAATTCTAGCCAGTACATGTCGCTCTAAAGAGTCCCTCAGGGTGTTTAAGAAGAAAGGACACTCATATTTCTTTGATTACCTCCCCCCATCAAGGATTTTCCCATTTTATTTTTATCCCTCATTATTCTATGTTTGTTTATTGTGGGAGATCGGAAATGTTGCTGAGTTCTCCGGGGGTGTGTGTCGTGTGGCGACGCGGTTCGATCGTACCTTGGCCATCTCTTTTTCCTTAACTTTAGTATGTTGACAGAGGCCTTTCAACGTTCGATCCTTTATTTACGTTGTGTACAAGACGTAGAAGGAATATTTAATTTTTTTTAAATATCTTGTGCGCTGTTTTTGAAGCTGCACTATTATTTGCCAACTTGGAGAGTGGTTACATCTAATTTGGACTTCCTCCGGTCCGCTTCTCCTCGCTGTTTCGTCCTCACTAAACTTTCAATTACATTTACTTTATCTCGGTATATGATTCGAATTTGTTAATTTTTGAGAGTAGATCCATGTGAAAAATATTCTGAATGAGAAAAAGATGCTAAAAGCTTTAAATTTTTGTCTTCGTATAACTGAAATTTAAACGTATTATGTGAAACTGTATTTGAAGAGAAAACGGCGAGTACGAACTGACCAGAGATTGTCAAATATATACAGACCTACTGTCAAAAACTGCAAATATAAAGAACACGAAGAATTTGAATAATATACTGATTAAAAAAGTCCTATAAGATTTATATCCGTCTTTATATAAATAAAACGAAAAAAGTATATAGTGGAAAGGATATTATGTAGAAGACAAAATAGCTAGAAATATAGCGAAGACAAGCGGACAAAAGACGTCAAAGGATAAACATAAAATCAAATAGGATCAGAAAAATTAAATTTATACGGAATTATTATCATAAAACCTCAAGGAACAAAAAAGCAGATATAGAATCGAATAATAAACTGACCAAAATATGTCATATTTATATGAAGTCAAAATATGTCATATTTACACGTAAATACTGTCAATAAACACGAATACAAAGAACACGAAATAATATATGGAATTCGAATAATATACTAAAAAAGTTATATAAATAAGTTATATTTTATTTGGAAGGATACTGATTACGAGCGAGTACAAACGGACCGAAATATGTCTTTTACACGCTTTCAAAAAAATGTATAATTAACGCAATGGGAGATAACGGAAGGAATCTATATACAGGAAAACAAAATGCTTGAGTAAGAAAAATTGAATCCGCTCACTTGGAAACATACATTCGAAACCTAAAGATAAGGAAAGAGGCAAGATTGCAAGTTAGATATAATGAGGGAACATATTAAGAACACAAGGCACTTGAGTACCGCAAGTTTTGTGATTTTCGATTTAAAATAATAATAATAATAATCTGGAGGCGTAGGGTAAAATTTTGAGTTAAATTTTTTTTTTGAACCTGTTCAGGACGTTACATGTTAATCTGTAAATGTAAGAAAGAATTTTGAATTCAAATTAGTAAATTTGATTTGTTCTCGCCGTTTTATTCCATATTTAGAGGAAATTGTGTTTGAGGAGAAAACAGCGAGAACTAACGGACCAGAGGAAGACAAATTTACTCGGTACCACTGCCAAAAAGACAATTATAAAGAACGAGAAATAATATATGAAAGAATTCGAATTTTCTGGCAGGGGAGGCCACGGTCGTGGGATCATGGATGGATCATCGATTTTAACGAAACTTTTTTTGGCGATACCACACGTGTCCGACTTTCTTGCAAATGGTCCTTAAAATATAATGCTCTCAGTTATCGGGTTTGTGGTCATAACTGAGATCATTGAAGTAGCTGGTCGATAAACTACATCGCTTAAAATATAATAACAGACGATTTTCTTTTTCCCCCCCTAGGATGCAGAAATGAGATCAGGTTCATAAAAGTTACAAAAATCAAAAGGATTGTAGATATTGAAATAGGTAAACTATGACCAATCGACTACTACTAGGGAGAAAAAAAACACGTTATCATTACCTTTTCTCATCCTGAAAAAAAAACTACCAATTTTTGGGAAAATCAAATTTTTTACTCATAATTTTTTCACTTTACACAAATACCTCAAATTTTTTTAAACCGACAATCGATAAACTACAACTTTGAAACGACTGCATAGATCCACATGAAATTTTACAACAGTTTAGAACCCTATAAACTGAACGTAATGACACAAAACTGGTAAATAAATCAAAATTGGAGATATAAAATAAAACGTTTTTGTTGATTTTATCCTTATTTTTCTCAATTATAATGACGTAAGACCTAAATTTTGTTGTCATAGCTTAAAATTAGAAATATTCAGCTTTCCAAAGATTGCAATGACGTGTATATTGGACAAAATCCAAAGGTGTTATTAATTGGCCAAAAATTGAGCCTAATAAATTCTATATTTTTTTATTGCTATAAAATTTCGTATTGAACAGTTTTAAATGCTTCTTGAAATGAATCTGATTGATTTTTCGAGAAAAAGTTGTTCATCCTACTTGACTGATAGCTTTTCGTTTTTGAACTTTTCATATATCTAATCTGTTTTAATACGATCCTGCATATTATTTCTTTATTCTAGGTTAAAAAAAATAGACAGTAATCTTGAAATTAAACCATAACAAAGGCAGAAAAAACATGTATATTTAAATTGGCAAGAATGCTGACACTAATAGTTTTTGATCTATCATAATTTTTAAAAAAGTTTCATTCAAATAGGCCATCCCATGCCTACAGTCCTCCCTTGTGACAAAAAATGCTATAACGTTTACATTTTAACATATTTAATGGAAATTGGGTTTGAGGGGAAAAGAGAGAGGACTAGCGGACCAAAAAATGTCATTTACACCGAACCACTGTCAAAAATGTATACAACCACCGTCGACACTGAAAACGGGTAAATATTTAATCTGAGGGGACCAGGGTTTAAATATAGACATGACCGGTCCCAAAGACTGCAAGAAAAAAGCGAGTACATGCGGACCAGAGGAAGGTCACATTTATATGGAATTTCTACTTTGACAAGGACCGGAAGATGTTTAATTTTTACTCATCTAATGTCAGAAAAAAATCACATGACATGAATCATTAAAATATAATTTAAAGAAAATGCACAAGAAGAAAATAGAAGGATCCAGTTTACAAACTACGTGGGGGGAAAATTTGTGAGAAGGAATTTTGGGGAGAATCGCTGCTTTCTCTAGTTCTGTTCTTATAGCACATTTTTGTTCAGTATAACATTCGAATTCTTCCAAGTCTTCTTTCGTGTACATGTGTTTTTGGCAGTATATTTCCATGTAAATTTGACATTATTTTGCTTGTTCCTTGCTGTATTATCCTCGGAATTCTTTCCATAATATACTTTTTATATAAATACATAAATATTATATAAAATATATATAAACCTTATACCACTTTTTTATCTGTACATTGAATTTTTTTTCGTGCTTTTTCAAGTTCATTATATTTTTGACCTTTGTTTGTGCAATTTTGGCATATTTGAATGAGTTTGACGAGAAATCAACGAGGACAAATAGATTAAAATGCCATATTTACACAGAACAACTATATAGGAAAAGCATTAATAAAGAAGAAGATAATAGAAACATAAGGATAAGACACAAATAAACAAAATACTTTGGGGGGGGGGGCAAAACAGCGAGGACAATATATTTAAGTCAAATTTATAAATTCGAATTGTACACTGAGAAAAATTGTTATATAAACATGTATCTGAATTTAAACAAAACGTAGTTGAAATTGGGTTTCAAAAAAAAAAATAGCGAAGACAAGCGGACCAAAAGACGTCAAAATGACGCCGAACTAGTGTCAAAAATACGCAAATATAATGAATATATACTAAAGAATTCAATTTATATAATGATAAAAAGTGCTATCATTCATATAAATATAATTTAAATTGATTTACTGTGAAGAATGGACTAAATATTGTTTAAATTGTATTTAAATTAAGTCAAATATAAATCTAATAGTACTTTTTTCCTCAGAATCAGTATATTTCTGATTTGTAAATTTAAACCTTTCGTCTTGTTCTTTTCCCAAATCCCTTTTCATCAAATATTATTCAAGTTCGTCAGAATGCTTCTATTGTCTTTGCTTGCGTTCTTTTATCTGCAATTTTTGATAGTTTTTAAAAAAATGTAAATATGACATATTTTGGTCAGTTAATTATTCGTTTTTATATATTTTTTGTTTTTTCTGTTTTATGATAATAATTCCGAGTAAATTTAATTTTCCTGATCCTCTGTGATTCTCTGTTTATCCTTTGGAATCTTGTCTTCAATATCCTTTCCACTATATACTTTTTACGTTTTATTTATATAAACCCAACCTTTTTTGCTCAAAATCAGTATATTTCCGATTAGTACATTTGAACTATTTCATCTTATTTTCCTTATTTCGTGTTCCTTATATTCGTGTTTATTGTCAGTATTTACAGTGTAAATTTGACTTTTTTTTGGTGGTATTGGCTGGTCCGGTGTTCTTCGCAGTTTTGCTCTCCTCAATATCTTTTCGACTAAATATCTACATGACTTTTTTGCTCAGTACATTCCTATTTGTAAATTTGACCTATTCCGTCTTCCTGTTATTTCATCAAATATTATTCAAGTTCATCAGAAGGCTTCTATTATATTCTCTTGCGTTGTTCATATCTGCAATTTTTGATAGTCATTCATGTAAATATGACATTTTTGTCAGTTAATTATTTTTAACTTTTTTTAAATCAGTATATTATTCGAATTTTTCGTGTTATTTATATTTCTGGTCCGTTCGTACTTTTCAGTATAGAAGTATCGATCACTTTTCACTGAAGGACAAGAAGAAAGCAAAGTTAGTTGCTACTGCCAAGCTTTCGACGTATTTTAAGCTCATCATCAGGGCAAAACAACTATACTATATGTCTATACAGTAAAGTTACAGTACTTGGTATGTTGGGACCGAGTCGGGTCTTCAAGGAAATGAGATCGCCTGTAAAAACTTAATATTGAAGGTTGTTTTGTCCTGATGATGACCTTAAAATAGGCCGAAAGCTTGGCAGTAGCAACTTGATTTGCTTTCTTCTTCAAAACCATAAATTGATCGAGTGTTCGTCCGTTCGTACTCGCTGTTTTCTCTTCAAATCCAAGTTTCACTTATTATTTTTACGATTTTTAGTTATAAGAAGACAAAAATATAAAGCTTGCAACAACTTTTTCTCACTCAGTATTCGAATCCATCTACAGTATATTCTTATGTATTATGAAACTTATTCCGTGTAAATTTGGGATCTTTTGGTCCGCTTGTTCTCGCTGGTTTGTTTTCCTTACACCCCTTTACACTATATTCTTTTTGTTTTATTAGATGTAAAGATAATTAAACCATGTGGCACTTTTTGCTATTATATCTTTCGAAATCTTATTATCGTGTTGTTTAGTTGTTTACATGTAAATTTGACATAATCTGGTCCGCCTGTACGCGCTATTTCCATGCATTCTTTATGAATGATATAAATTATATTTTGTATTTATCCGCTTTGTCCCGCTGTTTACTCTTTACCAATGTTGTTAATATTTCTGAATAAATTAGACGCCGTCTTCTCTTTCTTTGTGCACAAAAAACAAATTGATTTTAGCTCTTAGTTTCGTATTGTTCAAATATTTTCTTTATTTGAGTATTTCTTTTATTAACTCTTTGGTCCGCTTGTCCTCGCTGTTTACCAGTTGTCAATGGTAGGAATGCTGTGTAATTTTAACTTCCTTGTAGCCTTTGTCTATATCGATTGCGTTTATATTTGACATCTACTGGTCCGCTTAGTCTCGCTGTTTTGTCCTCAAACCGTTTTACATGCTACTTGCCCTGTACTTTTCCATTTTTTTATATCCTGTCGTAAGAAGCGTTTGGACAATTTTAAAATGAATCAGCCTGAACGCATTTTATTTAATGACTTCCTTTCCAATCTTGAACACAGGTCGATTAATTGTGAAGGGATAAAAAACCTTGGAAACATTGACCTAATCGTCAAACCCCAAGCAATAAACACAGTAATCCATTAAATCTAAGGGCAATCCTCGTCTTAAAGCATGTTTCTTGAAAAAGAAGGCCCAGCCTGGTCGACACGGCATTATCTTTATTAAATAATTCATTTCAAAGATAATAAAAGCACTTGCACAAGAGATTTTCTTATCAGCTTTTGAATTGGGCCGAATTATGAAAGTTAGTTGGGAGAAAAAAAGTGTGTTTGTAAAGCTTTCGACATAGTTTGCCTTCGAAAACAATCGAACTGAAGAATATTATTTTATTATAGGCCTAGAAATTTTTTCATTTCTTTTCCCGATCCGTACTGACAGAAAAATCAGCTTCTGTTTTTCAATTCGTGTTTATTGTTCTATTTTAGTCGCTGGCATCACGTTTATAAATCAACACCTGCTCCCATGCAGAGATTCTCTTTAATGCAAGTTCAAGAACGCCTAATAACAAATTTCCTTCGTGGCCTATTTATAAACGGTCCATTTTGGAAAATACGAATGGGTACTTTAAATTGTACAAATAGATGTTGGCTAAGGATTCAAATGTTTAGGGTTCATTAAGAAATGAATCTTGTCGATCTAGCACACCTGTGTACTCTGACCAAACCGTTTTATGATCTATGATTTTACGATTTTTTTTTTCTCCGATAGACATCCGGAGAAGGCGATTGCCCGCCTGCGATATACGCCGAGACTTTCAAACTATTTTCAAAATTCGGCGATACAAAGTCAGACGGCAAGCACATCACACTGTCACAGAGCGACAAATGGATGAAGCAGGCCAAAGTCATCGACGGTAAGACGATTACGTCCACTGACACTGGGATATACTTCAAGAAGCTCAAGTAAGAGAAAAAAAATCAGATGGATTTTTTCTTTTTAATGTTTTTTTCTTTATTTTAGACAGCATAAGGTGACATTTGCGGATTACAACAAATTCCTCGAGGATCTGGCGAAAGCGAAGAAGGTGGACGTTGAAGAGATCAAGCGAAAGCTGAGCAACTGCGGGCCACCTGGCTTGTCGTCGAATGTCGTAAGTTCAGCACCTTTGTAAAAGATACTTTAAACGTAAACCAAAATTTTATTTTTTTTTTGCTAAGGCAAATTTTAATAAAACTGTTGCGAAATACACTGTCTAGGTTTTAAAGAAACCGAAGCATAAGGTAGAACCGAGCACGATAGAAATCTTAGTACCATGGTCGTACTACTCACATGGCAACGTTACGCCACAGTACATGGAAAATAGCACTAGTGTTGAAGACATATCGGTGAGTTTGACCGACAAAATCTTGTCTTCAATGTTCAAAACCAGAAAAAAAAAAAAACATAAATGCATATCTATGATTTACATATTTGCGCTGGTTAAAAGTTAAGATATCGCGTTTCAGAATCTTACATATAGAGATGTCGAGGACGAGGAAAGCCCTCGGCCAACTCTGTCCGAAGCGTGCATGCAATTCCCTGAAACTAGGCCGACCATCGATAACGAAGAGGTACTCCCTCAGGAGCTGCTTAGGATGCTGCACCAGCAGACAGAGGATGAGCAGATATTCGGTGATTACGTTGCGTCCGAAATGCGCCAGCTCAAGGCGCCGGCGAACAAACGCAAGCTCAAGAGGCTTATAAACCAAGCTATTATACAAATGTCCGACCTGGATGCTTCAGAGTACGAATCGTACTCTTATGCCGACTCATCCAACTCTGCTTCAACAAGCAGCGGGTTCGGGGCAAGAGATATTAATATAATAAAGCACCTCTATGAGTCTGATCCTGTTTATTAAGAAAATAAAAATTGATTTGTTTTCCACAAAATGCTTTTTTTTTTTTTTTTAATTTTAATCATTTTGTTTCTTGTATTTTGAATTAAGGGTGCAGTGAAAACTCCTAGTGCCGTTGAAAGGCTGACAGACACAAGCAAATACACAGGCTCGCACAAGCAGCGTTTTGACGAGACAGGAAAGGGCAAAGGGATTGCTGGAAGGAAAGACGTTGTAGACAAATCTGGCTACGTATCAGGCTACCAGAACAAAGATTCATACTCAAAGGCGCATCCTACAAACTAATATTAAATTTAAGTATAATTTTAAAATATATATACAAAAAAAAATCCCTGTGTATAAAAAAGTACAAATTGCCTTATAAAATGTTTAAGTTTTTAAACTTTTTTTTTTATTGTGTAATTTAAATTAAAAAGAAAATAAGTGTAAATGCAATGTGCCATGATTTTTAATCTATCGAATGATATTCAACCAATTAAAAAATTTATTGACCTAACTCGACTACATTTTAGAAGAAAATATTTAAAAAAATAAAAACTAATGGCATTTTTAGCATAAAAAAATAACGCGTAAAATTTACATTAATTATTACTTTAAAAAAAATTGCTATTTTTACTATATATAAAAAACAAATTATAAAAATTCTTGTGCGTTCAATGACTTGTATTTTACATTAAATTTAAATGTCAACATTTAAAAACTGAACAAATTTTAAAAATGTTCTATACATATCTTACTTTACTTGTTTTCAAAGGGTCTGTAAATATATTGACCAATGTCTCATTATTATTTTGTTAATGATATACAGTCGACTTCTTAATTTGAAACTTGATAATTCGAATTTCTTGGTAATACGAACTCCTCAGCAGGTCACTTTGGTAATTTGAAAAAATTCTGTGCATTTTGTTACACTCTGTAATATGAAATGTTTTTCATAATAGGTGGAGAAATAGCATGCTATTAATCAATTTGAAGCCACTTCCCATCTTTATAATTTGAACTTTTTCTTTGTTATATTCCTCTAAATTAACCTTACAGTTTATTATTTCTTACAGCTTAAAGTTTATTTGAATTTTCTCAGTTTGTTGTGTCACTGGTTTGTCAAAGTGATCTCAGCACTGATCACTTTGGAAAAATCAATTAAACAAAGGACACCAGGCCATATTGAAACAAAAACACTTCACATTTTTTTTACTAATGCTTGACAATGTTTGATTTTATAGCTGATCTATTTCCTTTTTTCATTACTTTTACTGTTTTATATATGTACAATTTAAGTAATAAGTTGGAAAAAATGTGTCTTAAAATTGTTTTTTCTTTCCTCTTGATAATTCAAATTATTTTTTTGTTCCCTTGGGTTTCAGATTATCAAGAGTCGACTATAATAGTATTTTATGCTCATTTTTGCAGTGGTATGCATAAAATAAATCTGTTGTACCATTCATATAACATATGCAATTAAAAAACCCCCTGCACATTTTCCATTTTTTCACAATTAATATATCTAATAACAATAAATTTTTATATTTTCTAAATTACACCATATATAATTGATAATCGCTTATCGACAGTGGTTATTTAAGCGGACCTGTTAGATTAAGTCTTCCAAGTACATTTTTGTTTTTTATAAATTCAAAATGAAAACCTTTTTCTTTCCCTTGTCTTTAAACATTTGACCAATTTTAAAGTTTATTTCTAAATAATTTTTTTTTAATCGTTAAAATACCACTGCCATATAAAATACAACAGTTTTTTGTTTTATGTATTTAATTTGTGATTTCTAATTTTGTTTTTCATTGTTGATTGTATGATTATTGTTTTATTTTGTCATTAAATGTACAAATTTAACAAGAATGCTGTGTTTCATTTCAAATTTAGATCCTTTCACCTCGACAGCCATTCCAACATTCAACTTCAATCTCATAATTTTTTTATTACTCAGGAATCAATGAATATTAAATTACACATTAATGAATAGTAAAACATATGGCTAAATTGACATATTGCGAGTTATATTGGCTATCTTCTCAAGAATGGATAGTGAAACATGGCTAAATTTTCATTATTCTAGCCAACATTGCTCCTAAATTAGAATTAAAACTGTCGCTAAATTTCAATTAATTGATTGTGGAATCTATGGCTCAATGCCCATTAATGGATTGTGGATTCTGTTGCTTAACATTCAACTATGGGTAGCAGAAATTGTTAGTAAACAGACAATTATTGTATTTCAAAAATCCTAGATAAATTCTTATAGATAGATTTTAAAGACTTGCTAAATTTTGAACAATATAATTGTAAAACTTTTAACGAAAATAGGCAAAATTTTTATAAATGGACTGCACGAAAAATTGCCACAAAATCCAAACCCAAGACTAAAAAATTATGCACAAAATGAGTTAAAAGGGGAAACGAAAAATAAATTAGTAGGACTTTTCAAAGCAGAATTTATTTTTTGTCGTGTGTTTTTGTGAAATATTGACCGTAGACAAATACAAAAATATGGTTAAATGTTGATTTTTTTCCCATGGTAAAACAAAAATAAACAGAACAAAGGAAAGGTTCACAAATTGTTACAACTTATGTTTGAGAATCGAAAAATCAGGAAATTTTCGAGTTTTTGTTTTTCTTCCAGTGTTTTCTCATCAGGCCGTGATGATTTCCAGGGTCTATTTTTAAAAAGAAAAAAAACCCAAAATTTTCCCCCTTCAAATAAATAATTTTTAAATAATTCCTTTGGCTTCCGGGTCGAAACTGGGGATTTTATTGATTTTCGCCGGATCGGCGGAGGAGCGAGCGTGACGTGGCACCGGAGGCGAACGCGCCTGCGCCCCAGCCGCCAGCTCCGGTCTCGCGCACTCGGGGCCTCTCAGTCCCTTTTCTGCCGTCTCGTCGCAAGGCCGATCTCGCCCAGGTACGACTAATTTATATAAAAAAAGAAGACAAATTGAAAATCTCAGCAATAAAGAAACCTAAAAATTCTGTTTCTCGTTGTTTCAGGTCAGGCCGTTTCAGGGCAGAATCAAAAGCCACGAGGTAAAACAGAACACAGGAAGAGAAAATAACAGAGACGGTTTTCCAGACTCGCAGGATCTCATCTCGCCCATTGCGAAGAAATCGGCTCACGGGACAACTTTAAACATGTACAGCAACATATTTACAAACCCGAATATGTAAGTTTTACAGGAGGGCTTTTCACGATTTCCCTTTCGGTTTGGATTTTTCACGATTTTTCCGGCCCCTGGGTCCGTTCGGCTTCATCGATCAGACGTGACCCGTTTCGAGAAAACGGCCATTTTGTCTCTCCGCCCCACGTTCCGACGTTCCAAAACTCTAGCCCTTTTTCGTGAATAAGCTGTAAATGTGTTCATAAAAACATTGAAAACAGTTTTAAACGTTTAAAATATCACAAATATCAATGTAAAATAACACAACAAAACTTGGTTAAAAAAAAAAGAAAAAAAATCGACCCTGATCTTACGACAGTCCAGCGCCCCTGGGGTGACTGGACTGCAATTTGCCAAGTTTCCACCGTCAGTTGCCAGGTGAAGGACTTTCTTATTTAACCACGACACCAGAAGTATAAAATAAAAACACGAAAAAACCCTGAAATTATTCAAAGAAAATAACAAAAAATTCTTTATTTTCCGGTTGCCCTGCGTGAAAAGAACTTAGCGGCTAGTAAAATTTTAACCAGGTCAGTATTGCTCGTTTCGCTAGTTTATCATCGTTTTTACACCTTGGAGCAAAATTGACAGATTAATCTTGATTCAGTAGTTTATTAAGTAATTTTATTGTTTGCCATTTACTATTCCTAAAAGAGACGAATTCACAATTCGTATTTTGTATGTTGATTCCTGTCTGAAAAGCTCTTAGTGATTTGAAACCAGGTCAATATTGCCTCATTTGTCCAGTTAGTCTCTCGTTTTTACAACTTTGTGTAAAATTGACTAGTTGATATTTTATTCAGTGGATTATTTTGTAATTTTATTGTCGGTCATTACTCCGTCCTAAAAAAAGTCAAATTTACAATTTGATATTAATTCCTGTATGAAAAGTCCGTAATTGACTTGTAACCAGGTCAATATTGATCAATTTTACCAATTTGTCCCATTGGTTGTACAAGATATACCAGTTTATTTTATCATTTTATAGTTAATCATTATTCCATCTTAAAAGAGAAATTTACACTTTGATGCATTTTAGAAATGATAAATGGTGTGAAGTGTGTTGTTCAAGCTTTACAAAAAGGTATTCCTACTCACACTTAGACTACTGTTAAAACTATCTTTTTATATAGATTGATGCCTTTTTTCCATGTTAATACCTGTTGAAATGGCCTTAGTTGACTTGTAACCTTGGCCAACATTGCCCTGTTTTTCCAGTTTGTCTCATTTTTACAAGATATACTAGTTTATTTTATTGTTTGTCATCAGTCGCAAAATAGAAAAATTGTCAAATTGATACTTTTTATTTCTATGTAATTACTTTTTTAAAAGCTCTTAGTGACCTGTAACCAGGTCAATATTTTGCCCATTTTACCAGTTTGTTTCATTGTCTTTACAACTCGGGATAAAATTGACTGAATTATCTTTTTTCAAAGGATTATTACTACATCCTAAAAGAGTTAAATTTATGATTTGATGTTAATTTTTGTATTGTAAAAGTCCTTAGTTGATTTGTAACCATGTCAATATTGCATGATACACCAGTTTATTTCATAATTTTATTGTTAATCATTACACCATTCTAAAAGAGAAATTTACACTTTGATAACTTTTTTCCATGTTTCTGTATGAAAAGTCCTTAGTTGACTTGTAACCAAGTCAATATTGCCCCATTTTGCCGGATTGTCTCATTTTTACAAGATATACTAGTTTATTTTATTGTTCGTCATTAATCCATCACAAAATAGATAATTGGTAATTTATACTTTTTCCCCATTTTACCAGTTTGTCTATTTTTTTTACAACTTGAGGTTAAGTTAACCATTTCATAATTTTAATAAAACAGTTTATTTTGTAATTCAATTGTTAGTAATTATTTCAGCCTAAAAGAGACAAATTTACAAATTGATGTCTTTTTTTTTCTATGTTAATATCTGTGTGAAAAGCCCGTAGTGAATTGCTTAATTTTGCCAGTTAGTTCGTTTTTATAACTGGGGGCATAATTGACCAGTCAATCTTACGTTCAGTGGTTTATAATGCAGTTTTGTTGTTTTACATTAATTCATGCTAATAGAAATAAATTTACCATTTGATACCTTCGGAAAAGTAATTTTTTAGTTAGTAGTAATTTTTAAGTAATTTTGAAAAAACCTAAGTGTCTAGTAAAATATTAACCAGGCCAGTATTGCTCATTTCGTTAGTTTGTCATCGTTTCTACAACTTGAAACAAAGTGTACTAGTTAATAATTTTAATTGAGGGGGTGTATTTTGAAGTTTTGTTGTTGGTCATTAATTTTTTGTCTCCTCATTTTTAAAACTTTTTGAAAAATTGGCCTATTAATCTTTTTATACAATGATTTTTGTCACAAATTTATTGTTCATCTTTATTTCTTCTGACAAAAAGGGACAAACTTACAATTGATACCCGGTTTCTATGTTGATTCCTGTGTGAAAAGCCCTTATTGATTAATAACAACCTAGTTAGTACTTATTGATTATTTGGAGATGGTGAGATGTGGTCTGGTGTGACGTAGGTTTTACAAAAACATTTTCTTTATCGTGCCAATGTTTCGATCTTTATTGAGGTCATCTTCAGGACCTGGGATTTATAAACATTATAAACACATCCTACGTGTATTTGTATAATTTAAACATTGTCAATAAAGATGATCTCAGTAAAGATTGAAATGTTGGCACAATAAAGAAAATGTTTTTCTAAAACCTATGTCACACCAGACCGCATCTCACGATCTCCAAATAATCATTAACTAACAGTCACTAAACATCACACATTTCTAGTAAGTATTGCTTCATTTCCCAGTTTGTCTCATCATTTTTACAACTTGGTGCATAATTGATAATTTTACCTTTTATTCAGTTGTTTATTGGGTTGTCCGGAAAATAATGCAGGATTTTGGTATTAAACAAAAAAAAAGAAACTAGTTACTTTAAAGCAATGTTCTTTAATCAAAATAATTTCCNATGAGTAATCCTGTAAACGTAAACAGAATATTTTATATAGATTTTTTTTAATGAAAACTTAAAATCCTGCATTATTTTCCGGACAACCCGATATTTTGTAATTTTATTGTTTGTCATTGATTAATTCGAAAAGGGATAAATCGATACCTTCACAAAACTGATTTTCTCTAAATTTTTTGTTAAAAGCCTATAGTGATTTTATAACTTAAAGCAAAGTTGACCAGACAATCTTTAATTCAGTTCTAAATGGCACAATTTTATTGTTTTACCTTTAACCTGCCTTAAATTGGAAAAATAAAATTTCCAATTTCTTACCTGCTGAAATGCCCTTAGTTAACCAGATCAGTATTGCCCTATCTTGCTTGCTAGTTTGACTCATTGTTTTCACAACTTGAGGCAAAGTTGTCCAATCTTTGTTCAAGGTTTATGACACAATTTTATTGGTCTTCAATTACAATCAATACCCATTACTTGTAAACAAGCCATTAGTTGTTAGTTTGTCCCACAGTTTTTACGACTTTAGGCAAAATTGATCAATTAATTTTTCATTCAGAGGTTTTATTACTCTTATTTATTGTTTATCATTAGTCCCTCCTAAAAGGGCTACATTCACGAATAATACCATTTTCTGTGTTGATTCCTATGTTCTTAGTGACTTGAATAACCTAGTCAATGTTTTGCCTCATTTTGCCAGTTTATCTCATTGTTTTTTACAAATCTGGGCATAAATGAATGGTTAAACTTCTTAAGCAGTTTTATTGTTTGTCGTTAATCACTCCTAAAGGGACAAATTTACATTTGATACTGCAGTTTGCTTTGTTAATTCCTATGTGAAAAGTCTTTAGTGACTTAACCAGGTCAATATTGTGAACTTTTTATTTTACAATTTATTCCTCGATTTACCAGTTTGTCATTAATTATCTTTGAAATGGAGAGATTGTAAATTAACCCTTAGGTGTAATAAAAAAAGTACAGAGGGGATGGTGGGACTCAAACCCACGACTGGGGGTTAAGTATCTACAATTTCTGTAATTCCTTCCTCTTGCTCTCTTTTCTTTGGTATCTTTCTTGTCACTCACTCACTCTTATTCAGTAAATACAACTATACATGGCTTTCTTTCAGGATGTGGAGGAATGGTGGTAATGATGGTTACGGAGGTGCAAAGCGCTACTGGAACCAACAACAGAACGGCGGAAATAACGGCAGCACCCAGATGCAATTTGGGGGCACATTCCAGCACGGCGGCAAGCCATCCCACTTGAACGTGAACAAGCCGCCGTTTCAGCCCCAGGGTCAGAAGAAGAAGACTCTGAACGAAGTGCAGAAGAGCAAATTACCAGGGACAACACTCAGGAAGCCTCTTTGGGATGAGGGCACGCTCATGCCATTCCAGAAAAACTTCTATGTCCCGCATAAAGACGTTATGGGAAGGTATATATACATTTTAGCTTTGAGCGTCTTTATATGCAAAAACAAAAAATATGTGGATTTTTGTTTTTACCGGGTTTGTTTTTAACCGTGTCAAAGCAGGAACGAAGAGGAAGTTATCCTTTTCCGGCTTAATAAGGAAATCACCGTGAAAGGGAACCGTGTCCCGCCACCGTCTCAGTATTTTGAAGAGGGCAACTTTCCAGATTACCTCATGGCCGAGATTCTGCGACAGGGTTTTGCCGAGCCGACCGCCATCCAGGCTCAAGGCTGGCCGATCGCTTTGTCAGGAAGAGATTTGGTCGGAATCGCCCAGACCGGCTCAGGAAAAACACTCGCTGTAAGTATCTATTTTATTATTTTATTCTTGATTAAATATTGTTTACTGAATGAAATCTGAGAAATTACAGTTCACATTTTTTCCCCTTAATTCATCAATGTAAACAATTTTAGATAAACGTGATTTTCAGAATGATTTGTATTCTGACGTAACCTTTTTTGTAATCTTAAGTTTGCCAACTTAAAAGGAATAAATATTTAAATTGATTTATTATTCTTTTCAAAAAGAAAGTAAATATTCAAAAATGTTGTTACAAAAACCACATTTGTCTCCCATTGTTTGGCTAAACCACACTTTTTAATAAAAAAATTTTTTTTAGTATATTCTACCAGCAGCAGTCCATATTAATCACCAGCAGAGGTTGTCAAGAGGTGAAGGGCCGATCGCACTCATACTTGCCCCCACACGCGAGCTCGCTCAACAGATCCAGACAGTGGCCCAGGACTTTGGCTCGCCCTCGATGATCAGAAACACCTGCATTTTTGGTGGAGCACCCAAGGGGCCGCAGGCGAGGGACCTTGAAAGGGGAGTTGAAATCGTGATAGCGACGCCAGGCCGTCTGATTGATTTTCTCGAGAAAGGGACGACGAATTTGAGACGATGCACATATCTAGTCCTAGATGAAGCGGACCGCATGCTCGACATGGGCTTTGAGCCGCAGATCCGTAAGATAATTGAGCAGATCAGGCCCGACAGGCAGGTGCTGATGTGGTCCGCAACATGGCCGAAAGAAGTGCAGGCCCTGGCCGAGGATTTCCTCTCGGACTACATTCAAGTCAACATTGGCTCGCTCGAGCTCGCCGCTAACCACAACATACGTCAGATCGTCGAAATCATAGACGACAACGAAAAGGAGTCCAAGCTGTCATCGCTGCTCAGAGAGTTGGGGTCAGAACAGGGATTCAAAGCGATCATATTTGTCGAGACGAAGAAAAAAGTGGACGATATCACAAAACAGATAAGAAACGAGGGTTGGCAAGCGATCTGCATCCACGGCGACAAGTCCCAACAAGAAAGAGACTACGTTTTGACTGGTGAGTTATACCTTATACCATTTCAAAATTTATGTACACAATGTGCTTGTTTTTGTGGAATACATATATATACACATTTTTTGTAGGCCTTATTTATTATTATTATTTTTTAAATATAAAAATTACAATTTATTTTTGAAATTTTTTCAATTTTACATTGCTCTTTTTAAAATATTTTTATGATTAATTTGTTAATACTAATTACCCAAACTTGTACACATTTTAAAATAAAAAATTATTGCAACAAAAATTGAATTATTTTGAAATCTTCATTATTTTCAAATGTGTACATAATTTTAAGATAAATATTATCTTTATAATGTTAATTATAAAAAAATTATTGATTATTTGAAAAGAATAATGTAAAATTAATTTTTTAACAGAAATGAAATGATAGTTTATTTAAAATGACACAAGATTACCAAAACATCGATTAAAAAAAATATATATATATATATATATATATAAGGCCTATAAAAAATAGGGTTTATTAGTATTGTTTATTTTATATGTTTGAGTGTGTCATAGTTGTATATAATAAAAAAGTTTTTGTAATTATTACATAATTAATTTTTATTCTTTTTTTTAAGAATTTCGAAATGGGAAATCACCGATTTTGGTTGCTACGGATGTCGCTGCTAGAGGACTTGGTAATTCTACCCATATTTCTTTCTTTTATTGTCTATTATTAATTAATAATGATAAAACATTAATATGTAAATACACATAAATATATAATTATTTATTATAAAATTGATTAATTTTTTAGATGTTGAAGATGTCAAATATGTAATTAACTATGACTACCCGAACACATCGGAGGACTATATCCATAGAATTGGTAGAACTGGCCGGTGCTCTCAGTCCGGTACCGCTTATACATTTTTCACACCAGGAAACCAGAGGCAGGCGAGAGATCTGATCGCCGTGCTCACAGAGGCCGAGCAACCGGTGACGCCGAAACTCCTCGACTTGGCCAACTTAGCCAAATCAAACTATAACTGTAATTATTATAAAATTTAATTTCCAATTTGTATTAATATTGACAATTGTTTTTATAAAGGTCGCAACCGTTGGAACAACAGAAATACAAACAAAGATGGAAACAGCAGTCCGAGGGCGGTGATGAATGGCTACAACGGGTTCAAGTATACACCTCAGGGGACGGTCAACACGTGGACGAATCCTCAAACAGGAAGCGAATTGCGCAGTATTCAGCCTCACCAGACGCAGCACCAGGTGCAGCAGTCGGTCACCAACTTCCAGCCCCAGAGGAAGTACATGAGCCAGAGCCCGATGAACGGGCAGAGAAACGGCCGCACAGTTTTCACCGGCCGCGGCGGATACAACTCGAACGGCAACCGAGCCTCTGACCTTTACGTCCCATACGTCGACCAGCAGGTCCAGAACATTGTCAACCACAAATTCTTCCAGGGCAACCCGAACCGTGGCAATCAGCACTGCTATACCGCTCCACCGCCTCACCCGCCGACCTATTTCCCACCCCCTCACCCACACCCACCTCATGTCCCACAGTACAACCCCTACGCACTCCCTCAGGCGGTACAACAATAGGTTGATTCGAATCATATATATATTTTTCAATATTATTACTATTAACTAATCATTATAAAAGAAAATGTTTAATTAAAAAAAATTTTTGAAATGCACTCAAAAATATTCAGAAGGGGGGAGGGGTTGAGCTGATTTTGTATAAAGTTAAATTTTGTTTACTCACTGTTATTGTTTTGTTCTCGTAAAGAAAAGAAAGAAAAACAAGAAGAGAGATAAGTATAGATATATAAGAAAAAAATTGAAAGAACCCTCCTTTGAAATATATACATACAATTTATAATAGAGAGAAAAAAAAAAGAGTTCCTTAATATCTATCAATCGTTCAAGGGTCGTTTGTATATAAGTAAATTTATAAAAAAATACGAAGTAAAAAAAGGTAGAAACTCGAAGTTTTTTATATAATTATAAAAGCAAGAATTTGTGCCCCCCCAGAAGACCTTTTTGTATATTTGTATAAGATGGCCTGTTTTTGAGGGTAGTCTCGATTACACTTCTACTGTGATATTAATTAGCTATTAATTTTTAATCTTATTACACAAGAAAACGAAAAGAGTGATGTTATTTAAAATAATTTTAAAAGAATATAAATACGCTTGCGTGTGTCTCCAAAAGAGAAAGGTCGGTAAATACCAAAAATGAGGAAAAAAGGCAGAAAACGACTTTTTTAATTAATAAGTAATTCTAGAAATTTATACTTATGACACATGCGTATAAAAGTTATATATATTTAAAAAGAAATGAAAAAGATATGTGTGTTAAGAAGTATAGATTTTATAAAGAACAATATATAATTAATATGTGAATTTAAAAGAAGAGATCAAGAATTTTTTTAAATTTTATAAATAAAAGAAGTATATATATATTTAAAATAAAATTAGGTAAATATATATATATATTATATATTAAAAATACGTTTGTACTCTAATTGTTAAAAACAAACAAAAAAAATAACCCCCTCAACTATATGTGATATTTTCTCAAAGACTGATTCCTAACCGCTCAAAGACTAAAAAAATGAAACGCGATAGGGGAAATAAAAGTTTTATAGATCATAAATGGGTATAATCCGAAGAAATTTTTTTAAGGTACATAAAAAATAAAAAATCTCGAAAAAAGTACCTAAAGAAAGTGGTGAAGGAGCAGTGATTTATAAATGTTTTGTTTTTGGGGAAATTTTCCAATTTTTTCCTTTTTAAATAGTTTTTAATCGTTCTAGTTTTTCTCTTGCATCTGTTCTTATTTTTTGTAATTATTTTTTTTTTTTTTTTTTTTTTTTTTTTTTTTTTTTTTTTTTGTGCCGTGCACTTAGGTTAATTTTGTAATTGTTAACACCTGTTTTTTTGCCAGGGTGTCCCAAAGAATTTTTAGCTTTTTTTTTCTTTAACTTTTTTTTTTTTTAATACCGTAAATTTGCAGATCCGCACTCTCTGCGGCGCCCTGAGATTTTGTCCTTTTAGGGTAAGAAATAACGTATTTGTTGTTTTTTTGTTTTGTTTTACTATCGAATTTAATGAAATAATGCAGACACAGCAAAAAAAAACCAACCTTTCTCGTTGGGCGTAATAACATACAAGTGTAAAAAGATAGCTAAAAAGTATAATTTGAATAAAAAGAAAAATATCTCTTTTTAAAAACAAAATATTGTAAAAGTGTAATTTAAAGTATTTATTACCTCTCAAAATGTTAAGACATTTTATATTTTTTAATGGTTTTAAGTTTTTCTTTTTGTTAACTAGTAAAAGAAAAACGAAAGTAGGTTTCCTGTTGTAAAGACTTAAAACTTGAGTTTTTTTTTTTAAATTATGGGTGATGTCGAAAAATGTGTGTATTTTGATTTTTATTTTCCACTTTTTTTAAGTTTTTTTTTTTACCATGACAAAAAAATGGAATACATGAAAGTAGTTTAAAAATAATTTGTACGACCCTTGTGAATGTGGATGGATGTGATTTTTTCTTGTTCTTTTTTCCTTTGTTTTGTTAATAAGGGTACTATTTTTTTTTAATTGTGGAATATTTTAGAAGAGACCAAATAATAATATAAGCGTGTTGTTGATAAATGTGATAAAAGGTTTCAAATATGAAGAAAAAACGTAAATAAATCGCATTTGCTGTTACGAAGAGAAAAGAGCTCTTCTGAGTCTTAATTCAAGTGCATTTCTTGTATGTATAACAGTATTATTAATACATTACTCGTAATAATAATAAATAAATAATGTTTAATAAGTATAATCTCAAAAAAAAGTACTTTATATTTCATGTTTTTTCACGTTGAACTGTTTTTCTTTATTTTTCCGTGAGACACGTCTTGCGAAAGAACCCATTTTTCGTCTTGAGACTGTAAAAAAATGGATTTTTTTTGGAACTTGTGGAAAAAGTTGATTTGTTTTTCCCCCTTTTTATTTTTATGTACCTTAAAAAATTATATGAAATTAATTAAAACATTTTTTTGAAATTCGATGAAATTGTTTAACTCCTGTCTTGTCAAATCCACACAAATATTCCTTTTTCCCTTGTTGAAAGTCCGACGTGATGGATAACAAACGAAATTGCACATTAGACCAATATTGGTCACAGTGCATAGTCTTAAAAATGACTTAAAAACAAATGACAATGCAAATGTTAAACAGTCATATTAAAAAAATAAATAGAATTAGAAAGCGTGAGTAATAAAATTTATATTTAATTAAGAAAGTAATATAATTTATAAAAGGTGAATATTTACAATTAAAATATCACATTTTGTATATAAAAAAAAAAAGGCAGGCTACTTTATGACAATTTCTAAATAAGCGAACCTGTATTGAAGCGTATTTGTAGTTCTTACTAAAACCCTGTTTTTGATTTTATTTTTACCTAGCTCTTTCAACCCTTCATATGTCACATAGCCGAGGCCCGAGCTCTTGGCCTCGGTGAACGAAAAGTCGCCGTTCACTACAAAGCCGAAGATTGGCCGAGAGCAGTGATCTCTGACTCGGGAGCAGTCCGGAAGCCATAGAGACTGAATTCTTTCTTTCTGCTCTTCGATGATCTTTGCCGATGAATAAGCATCGTTCTGTTCTTCGTTTTGTTTGATATTTTTTCTCTTCCTTGCTAGCCTTTTTAAAACGGATTTGTGCTCTAAGGTGCATTCCTTTCTCGGTGTCTTGTTCGTGTCTTCATGACCCGGTTCGACAGGCGGTACGTAGTCATCGTCTTTTGGTATGCAGATGTGGGCGTTATCGCTTAGAAGCCCTTTGCCTTCGAATACCAAATGGACGCCGATCAACGTGCCTGGCTGGACATCAGGTAAAACACCCGTTTTTAAATTTTGTCTTAGTTCCCTTAAAATCCGATTGTCTCTTAAGATATAGAAATCTTCGGTGGACGACCACTCTCGAACGAGAAGATGCCAAGGAGCGTGAAATGGACTCGGCACTCCGAGTTTGACATAATTCGGCCTTTTCGCTGGCGGAATCCTTAAATGTTAAAAAAACAAAAATTAATGAAGGTAAAAAAAAATTATATAATTATTTTGGTTGATTTTAAAAACCGACAGATGCATAAAAGCACCTTGAAATTAAGATCAGTGTGTAAAAAAATTATCAAAATTTTTCCATACCGAAAATGTCTTGCTTTGGCTTCATCCTTTTTCTGTTTGTCTTCCCATTGACCGGAGAGCGTATCTGGCGGGATGCCCAACGACGCTGCTTCCCTAAGGTGGGATTCGGCCTCCCTGAGTCCTCCGGCTCTCCCTCCGTTCAATATCAGGCTGAGCCATACCGCCATCCCGTATCCAGCAGGGCAGATCAAGTCCCAGCCACACCCAAAACCTAAAGGAAATTTAAAAATCAATTTAAAAAAAGTGCTAAGTAAGTAAACCTAAGATCAAGTCTCAGCCGCACCCAAAACCTAAAGACAATTTAAAAATCATTCCCAAAAGATTGCTAAAAAAAGTAAATAAACCTAAGATAAAGTCTCATCCACACCCAAAACCTACAGGAAATTTAAAAATAAATAAAAAATTGATAAAAAAGTAAATAAACTTAAGATCAAGTCCCAGCTGCACACACAATCTAGACAAGTTAAAAATCAATCCAAACAAAAGAATTTCAAAAAAAGCAAGAAAAAGTAAATAAACCTAATCTTTTTTCACTTGACTGGCTCCCAGGGCTCTGTATCGCTAAAACAGGAAACGCAGGACTGTTCACGTTCACGTTTATTTTTTTCCCAGTTTCAAAGTTGACTCCAGGTACCAACTTTTGAGAACGAATTTCGTCAATTTTCTTCGGAGTAAGTCTCTCCTCTGTAATCCTCTCCCTCAAGACGTCATCCCATATTGGGCTAGTTAAGTCTTCTAATTTTACCTCCTCTGTAGATATACCTTAAAATAAAAAATAAAGAAAAGTATTTGAACCTTTTTTTAAACATATTTTAAAGCATACTCACTTTCATTTTTGGCTTTTGTTCTAAATTCAGGCAATGTGATTCGTGTGTCGTAGATTGTTATTGGGACGATGATCCTCGGTGTCAACTGCGCTGGGCTTGTGAAGAGCTTCATTTTGTCCCAGTATTGTTCTTGTTCTTTTAAAGAATTTTTATTATCTTGGTTGTAAAATTCGCTGACCCAGTCTTCGATGATGCGATTTTCACATTGCAAAGGTATCAGTGCTTTTGAGACAATCGCTTGCGACATAGGCCCGAGAAGCCTGAACCTGTTAAGAATTATATTTTTCATTTGGACATCGCCCGAATAAATTCTGAGAATCCTTCTAGGCAGTTTATCCGATTGTTTATCGATCAAGTCGATTTGGCTCAGGCAAAATGTTCCGACGAATTCGTCAATCAGTTCATCAAAAAAGCTCGGGTGGACCCAAAGCCAGATCTTCTTCGGATCGCCAGGTCTCCAGAAAAACTTGACTTCTCCGATTGCGCCTCTCGGGTATGAATCTCTCCTGTAAAAGAACACTGAGCCTTCACGACTCCCGTTCAAAAGAAAAGCCGAATCGACGCTCTCCTCTTTATTGACATGTCTCTTCAACCCTGACATAATGACATCCAAGTTTCCAGATATTTCCAAACAGTTATAATAAGATATGTCCTAGAACGAATCCTTCAATAAATTAAAAGTTTAAAAGAAAAATTGAAAAGTACCTGGATGAGGCAGTGGTTCGCGGCAGCACGGTAGCAAGCCCTGTAGCTCTTATCCGCAGGCCTCAATGGCACCTTGTAGCCCCATTTCGTCGCCATGAAAAATCGCTTGGCGTGCCAGATGTGCGTTTCAAGCCAGAGATTTCTATTCTGCCTCCTACTGTAATCCTTTACGAGGTCCTTTGGCCTCCTGCGATACTTGCCCCTAGGCACTTTGCCTTTGCCTTCTCTCGTGTTGCTCTTCTCCCTCTACAAAGCGAATACTCAAATATAACATTTTTATCGTAAAATGTATTTAAAAAGTACAAACCAGAGCTTGGTACGTCTCCCTGAGCCTCTTTGGTATCCTTTTGATATTGTGGCTCATCGCCCTCCTTCTCATATGATTAGGCAGTTTCTTCTTCGTAGCCAAACCGCTCGTAGGGTTTTCTAATACAATAAAAAGTATAAATTTAAACAATCAAAAGATATATTAATAAATAAAATACCAAGAATGTAAAGAAGGGCGTTTATTTCATCCAGGCTATTTTTAACCATACTCCCGACTACGACGCTCTTAGGGACTTCGTCCGTATCGCCTTTATTCTCATCCATGCTTACAAAATAAAAAAAATAATAATTAATCAATTAATTTATTTAAACAAATTAAAAGCACGCTTTGAAATTTAAAAACATGGAAGGTAACGGTCTTGTTATAACCAACAGAGTGAACAACGACGCACAATTTCTTTAAATATCAATTGTTTAATCTAGTATATATCTGTTATAATCTAGTAATTATTAATTAAAAAGTGTTTTTATATAAAAAGCTATTTAATTAGATCGTTATTAATGACAATGTAGAATTTTTGTGGGAAATAACTTCAAAAACTCCCCGGTAAAATATAAGCCACAAGATTTAATCATATCAACTTTGTTATTTGTTTATAAATTTATTTGAAAAAGGTGTGAATTATGTAAAAAATTGTAATTTGAAAAAATTGTAATTAGATAAGTTTTTAAACCTTTTTGTTAAATTGAAATGAAACTGGCTTTGTTCATTAGTAAAAATTAATAATGAGTTAATGTTGTCTGTATTTGATTAATACTTACATTTTAAAGATTTTTTAAGGATATTTTGTTTTTCTTCTTCTGTAATTATTTTGTGTAATTGTTAATTGATAACGGGTTTTTTTATTATCTAATGGGAAACCTTGGTTGCAACCTTCCCGTTTTAAGGAGTGTTTGCGTCGCCGTGACGCTCGTCGTAGGTCCTCTCACCTTCTCATTCGTCCTCTGGCCGGAGGCGACCCCTGAAATGTACCCATGGAGAACGATGAGGGGCAGAACGCTAGCGACAAAGGCTCAAACGACTTACAGCAGATCTACAGGGACGAGGTCGACAGACTGCCCAACAGGTGTCATGTTACGAACTGGGACATATTCGTTCTCATGGTCTCTGTCTGTTCCCACATCGTCGACGTCGCCCTGGACATCAACCTCGCCTACAGGTACTACCAGAAGAAGGACTACGTCGATTTCGCCCTGACGGCCACGTTCATATACTTCCCGTCGTTGGTGAACACTTTCATCAGCCACAGGATGTAAGTAGATAGCTGACCAATTTGGACAATCAACCAATTCCTATTTGCATCTAGCCTGTTTTATACAGAGTGCAGTCCATACGGCATCTTGTCAATCAGCTTAATCTAATTTGCATCCTTATATCTATTTATTTACACGCAATACATTTATCAATCCATCTTACATGTATATACATTGATACAAACTTAGATGATCATCCATCGATTCATCTTTCATATCCGCCTAATTTTCTTTTGCTCATTTTTCAATGCATCAAAATTATCATCTATTCAGTCATCTTGATACCTATGTTTATTTACATCCGTATATCTATTTATTTACATGAAATCTATTTATCAATCCATTTTACATGTATATACATTGATACAAACTTAGATGATCATCCATTAATTCATCTTTCATATCCGCCTTATTTTCTTTTGTTCTTTTTTTCAATCCAACAAAATTTACATCTATTCGGCCTTCTTGATATTTTACCTTTCTTTATTTACATACGTATATTATATGAAATCTATTTGTCAATACATCTTACATGTATATACATTGACACAAAGACACAAATTTAGAGGATCATCCATTCCATCATCCATCCATCTTTCATATCCACCTTATTTTCTTTCCTTAATATTTCAATGCATCAAAATTATCATCTATTCTGCCTTCTTGATATTTTACCTACCTTTATTTAAATCAGTATATATATATGAAATCTATTCGTTAATCCATCTTACATGTATATGCATTAATGCACACTTAGGTGACCATCCCTTGAAGAGGAGTTGGAATCTTGTCCTAGATTAGCCTTTTCACCACCAATTGCACCTTCCTGCAATAACTGCACAGGCTTGTTTCTTCCTCTCCGGGTCTATACATATGCCTCCAGAGACTGCAGTGTCCAGATAGCAGGCTAACGATTTTTCTAGTAGTTGTATTTTGTAGTTCTATTGTCAGTTTGTGGGACCTTTGATGGACTTTTTCACAAGCCTCTGTCCTGGGCTACATTCCCATTGAACATAGAGGGCTTATTTTTAACCCATTGTCTGATGGATACATAGTTTTGGCAGTTTGTTATGCCACAGTGGGTTCAGGGTTGCTAGGTGTCCTCATTGAACTCTTCGTTGCTCGCTGTCCTGGTGGGTATTTTATGGTCCCGATGCAAACCTAACAACTCTGAACTTGCCAATGTGATCATTGCTCTCAGTGTCGAGTAGATGGCTATTCTTCTGCTAACATGCCTTTTAATCTTCTTGGTGTGCCCAATAATGGTGTTTTCAATAGCCAGTCTCTGCTTCTAGCCCTTGGTTTATTTCCATAACCAGCCATTCCTTTTGGTGCCCTCGGCAGATATGTTCTACTAGGTATTATTCTGAATATTATTGTCAAATCTGAATTTAGGGATCATGGCATCATCACTAGAACACTGTCTGCTTTAGTCCCTTTTGTGCGAGTAGGCTATTGGAGCCTGTCCCTGTATTAGCCTATGAATTGGGCCTCTCCTTGGATAGAGATATGTAGTGATATATTCAGGACTTCCAGGGCAGCAGTAGGGGTCATTCTCATTACCCAAGTGATGCTCAGGCACGTTAATACCGCCCTTAGCTGTAATGTCTTTGACCATTAAGCCACTGTCCGTAGGCTATCATGGGTCCAAAAACCGTTGACCATAGGGACATCTTTGGGTTAATCTTTTTTGTAGGTTATCTTATCATGTTGGTACTTATTTCCCTCTCTCATTACATATCCATCTATCTATTTAACATTTGAGTACTGGAACATTTAATAATTAATAAACAATGGTTATGGCATCCAACTTGCATTTGCCTGAGTGGTTCCAGGTTTGAATCTCTGAATCTCAGCATATCACATGGCTTTTTAAATGAACATAATATGGAAAAAAGTATTGTGAAATTTTTCAACCTCTCTTCCAAGACACCCAGATTATAAAAGAGTATGATTACCGTATCTTGCTATAATTATTCTCATGCCAATGATAACCTTGGTTTTGAACATTTAATGAGCCATGGTTTGGTATCTTAATGCACTTTTATTAGTTTTTGTCAATCTTGCAAAGAGCTACTGTTTTTAAAGCATATCGTTCTTTTGTATTGTTTGATATTGAATTTTTCAACCTTGATAACTAATCTCCGACTGAGACGAAATATTGATCAATCCAGGCTCTTTGACAAGGTTCATTTATCAAATTGGCCTTTTTTAGCTCAGTCGATTTTTTTCATTTTATGTCCTAGATAAAAAGAATAATAGATGCAGGCCATAACAGATTATATATTCATTATTGATCAGTTCTTTTCGAGGATAGTTTAAAATGGACAAACTTTTCCCCTTTTGTTATTTATTTTTCTAAATTAATACAGTCATTACTAGCATTCTAAGCTTACTAACTAGGGAAAGGAAGAGTGAATGGGAAGGATGAATAGTGAGTATTGAATTTCTGAGGGAGATTGTGAATTAGAGGAAATTACATTAGGTATAATTGAAAGAAATTGATAAGGAAAGAAAAGATTGATAAATATAGAGAAAGAAAGAGATGGAATGTAAGTACAAGTAATTAGGGTCATTTTTTTTGTAAAAGACAATGTATAAATTATGGTTTTGAATTTTTTAAAATGTAAATTAAATTTGTCAGGTATGTCCTAAGTGAAGATAACGCTTCCTCGTCGAAGATGGCTGTTAAAAAATGGACCATTAGAATATTTGTTCTAATTTTTCAACTCGCTCCAGTTATGAGGTAATTCGCCATCGCCCGTTGTTATTATTTATATTATTAATTAACATTCTTCTGTCTGAAGGTATTGCGATTCCCTCGATTACGCCATGAAGTCGAGGAAGGCGGAACGGAGGCTCGACACGAACGAGCAGATCCGATATTACGAGTTGATGCTCAAAGAGGATGGGGATGTCGCTCTGCTCAGGGTGTTTGAATGTTTCCTCGAAGCTGCACCGCAGCAGATCCTCCAGCTGTCGATAATAATCAACAGAGTACTGTACGCAAATGACGAGAGCAACGATTCGACATTTACTCGTAAGTTGTTTTTTTAAAGATTAAATTAGAATGAATCACTCGAGAAATAGCCCCACTTGACCCTGGATTCATTGTAAATAGAATAATGGATTACAATAAGAGATAAAACTCTCTTTTCCTTTTATCTACCGACTTTGATATGAAAAGTTCAAATATCTATATGACAAATGACTAATGTTCCTTTCAATCACAATAAACATTTGCAAAAGAAACATTAAAAAGCTTTCAATTATTATTGAAAATATTTTAAAAAATCATTATTAAGACAAATAAATTCAGGTTGTCATTTTTAACATTTCTTTCGCCTTATGCTAATATGTGCTTACCAGAATAATTACCAGGGAAAAGGAAAAAAAAAAAAAAAAAAACGGCAAAACACCAAACTATATGCCATCAATTATAGGACCTCTGTAGCCGAGTGGATGGGATGTTCAACTCGTATTTGCCAAACTAGTGGCCCTGCATTTGAATCTAGACACAACCCGAAAATTTTTAAATTTAGAAAGAAAATTTAATTAGTTAATAAACTATCAATAAATAATTAAAAATACTTAAATTATTTAATAATAAATTAATTGTTGGAAAGGTGTTTTGACTCTCATCTGCGACATTGAAAGCCTGTGCACCCTAGTTTTATTAATCGGCTTCGAGTTGTTTTTTTATTTCAAATCTCATATATTTTTTTTTTTATGACTATAAAGTAGGTTTTAAAGTTTATAAACAAGGCATAAAAGGCTTTATTGTTTTTTTTAAATCAATCAATAATTTTAATTATTTTTATAGTGATCCATCAGGTGGGTTCTATAGCATCATCAGTGTTGTCGATGGCTTGGTCCATGGCTTCGTATCATCGTAGTATACGCCTGTGCCAGAGGGATAAGTCCAATATATCATTAACCGGTAATTCTCTTATTTATTTATTAAAATATAATTTTTGTTTATATGTGTGAATTGTATTCAGGCACTGCGGTTCAGTTTCTCTGGCATTTTAATATAACAGCGTCGAGGATATTGTCGATAACGGCGATCGCTTACAACCACCCGTATTTGACGGTGAGCGCATGCTGCATCCACTGGATCGTCATGACATTCTGGCTTGCCCTTTTTGAGAATACGCAGTTTGTCGTCGCCGAGTCGACCTGGCGGGCCAAAATTTCAGAGATGTTCTTCTGCGGTCTGTTCAAGCTTTCCTTTAGGAAAAAAAATAGTTTATTTTATTTTTATTTTTTAAACAGGAATACTGGGTTTGGTGTATATTTTCACCTATTTGACACCGAGCGAAGGCTCGACCAGGCACCGTTACCTCGTCTACTACCCGATCTGCTTCTTCGAGAACGTCACCGCCATCATAATCTGGACGATATTCGCCGAGCCTGCGATCCGAGACTCCTGGTTCTACATACCGATGATAATATCCGGTATTCTTCCTTTCATTATTGGCCTCTTGTTCATGGCCCTGTTTTACAAACTACTCCACCCTCAGACATCAAGGCGCGTCCACACCGCCGAAACCGTCCGGAGCGATGTTGACGTCCAAACAAGCTCGATATCCTTAGCCGCTTAATTCATTTATACGTACGTAAATTCTCAAAAGTCAATTAAGCCAGAAAGACAGATATTTTTCCATTAATTTAAGAAAAAGATTGCTACAAAAACTCAAATAACTATTTAGTTAAAGAAAATAATGGTAGGCAATTTTTAAGTTTATTAATTCCTTTTTAATCACCAAAGCTGTTAATTAATTATTAATTTGATTAACTTTTCCTAATTTTCATAATATTAATCGTACAGGAAATTTAGAGGAAAATTTTGCAATTTGTAAAATTTTGGTGAGTGAATCGCCTATCTCCCCCTCACCCTGATAAATAATATTTTTATATATACACATTTTATAAAGGTTGGTACAGTATGACCAAATTTCAAGCAGACTGACCACTGTTTTCAATCGTGCGAATATTTTTTTTTTTCTTAACATGTCAGAAGAGATTTAAAAAATTATTTGTAAAAAAAAATTACATTGATATTCAGTATTATCGGTTAAATTCCAACTGTTTTGGTAAAATGTGCTAGGGTTTTAAAGTGTAGTTGATACTTTTGGTGTTAGACATTAGTGTAGGGTTTTTTGTCCAATCCCCCCCTCCCTGTGTGCGGTTAGGGTTACTCACGAATGTTTTATATATATAATAGTATAGACATACAAAGTGCCTTTGAACTATTGGCCTAATGTGTTCCATTTTTCTACGACTCTATTTTCCTAAGACCAAAAAAAAAAAATTAAATTAAAAATAAAAATAATACAGTCAAATTTCAAACATGTTTTTCGATTAATATTCCAAGTCGCGATTTCTTGACTTTTGACTACTGGTTACAAAAGGAGAAAATCCTCTTGGGAGTAAAAACGCTTTTCTGCCCAACTTTATCTTTCCTGACCAAAGGAAAGGCTTCACCGTGCGTCCGTGATGAAAATTTATAAATATATTTTTACCAAAAAAAAAAAAAAAAAAAATCCTACAAAATATTACAAAATGAAGTTCTTTAAACAACTTAAAAAAAAGCCCAAAGAAAATCCATTTTAAAAAGGAGTAGCGATATTATAACATAAAAAATGAAATGAGTGATTTTTTTTCCAATGTCTTTCAGTTTTAAGTGGACAAACATAATTTTTAATTATTAAAAAAAAAATTATATTTATTTATTTATATTACGTCTGTTGTACATATTGTGGTCGTTGATTTTTTTTTTGTAAATAAAACAATTTGTAAATAGGGTCTTTACGCAATTCAAGATGTGTGGTTACTCTTATGCATTCCTTTTTGTTTTCATTTTCCTTTTGTGTGATATTTTACCTATTGTCATTGTTGGTTTGTTTTTGTAATAATTGGAATAATAAGAATACTAAAGAGAAAAGTTTTTTTTTTGTTAATTTACCAATCAGCCTGTTAATGGTAAGTACCATATAATTATAGTAAAATGCAATATGTGTATTATAAACGGCTGATTATTTCAGTTTGCCTCTATGGGGAAAAAAACGAAAATATTGAACATTGTTTAACAACCTTTAGAAAAAAAGAAAAAAAAAAGATCTTAATGGCATGAAAAAATAAGTCCAAGAAAGTTCGACTTTTAAGAAGCGGAAAGGAAATTTAATAAGAAGTTGATTCATTTTTGGATATTTACAAGGTAACTCTCAGTAATTCACTCTTTCTCTATGATCATTGACAATTACGATCGGCCAATATGTCAAAATGATTTCTTCATGGTTAAAATATCGATTGTCACATTATTGAGTCCAATAAAAAATATTTTTTTTTTGGGAATCAAAAGATTGTATCAAAAATTGAATCATCATGGGTGGCAGCATCCTTTTTGCTGTTATCCGTTATAATTGATATTTTTGTGTGATTTTCTATGATATTTTTGATTAAATATAGCGTTAATGTACAATTTATAACAAAATTCAATGATTGATAAATTTAAAAAATGTGTAAAATTTAGTTGACCGTTTAATTAATGATAATGTAAAGACAATGAGATGCCGTCTGGGGTGATGTAGGTTAGAAAATCATTTTCTTTATGGGGCCAATGTTATGATCTTTATTGGGATCATCTTCTGGGTCTGGGAATTATAAACATTGTTTAAATTATACAAGTACGTATAAGACATCAATATGAATTTACATGATGTACACAACATAGAGCTGTTAGGTTTAATCAAAGTATTTGTATTCACTCAGTGTGTGTTTTCTGTGTATAATTTAATCTCACTTTCATTAAAAAATCAAATGGAAAAAATCTTAAAATTTGCAGATATTGAATCATCAGATGTGGCAGGTTTACTCCTTTTTGCTCGTTTTCCATTATTATTATTATTATTGAAATTTATTATCATTCCTACAATATTGGTTGCTGGTTTCTGTTGTTTTTGATATTTGTTATAATTTATAATATACAGGGTGAATTGCTACTCGTGCTACAAACTTCTCCAGTAGATTCTTCACCCTAAAATGAACAAAAAAGTTCATATTGTCCATGGTCCGATTCTCAACCATTTCAGAGTAATTTCGCTTTTTATCGATTTTGAAAGATATCACGTCCTGGCGTCGGAAAATCGTGATATCTTTTAATCTAAACATTTCTCT